CCTTACTTGGTTACAGAAATAGACACACAAATCCAGAAAGTGCAGAGAATCTCAAAAAAGATGAACCCAAAGAGGCCCACACCAAGAAACATCATAATTAAAATTCAAAAGGTTAAAGACAAAGAGATAATCCTAAAAACAGCAAGAGAAAAGCAGTTAGTTACTTACAAGTGAACTCTCATAAGACTGCTGATATCTCAACCAAAACTTTGCTGGCCAGAAAGAAGTGGCAAGAAATAGTCAAAGTAATGAAAGCAAGGACCTACAACCAAGATTACTCTACCTAGCAAAGCTCTCATTTTAGTATCAAAGGACAGATAAAGAGCTTCTCAGACAAGAAAATGCAAAAGGAGTTTATCACAATGAAATTTGATTATTAAAGGGTCTTTAAGAAGAAGAAAAAAAGAAAAAATATGAACAGTAAAATGTCAGTAAGTACATATCTATCAACAACTGAATTTAAAAATCAAAATAAACAAGCTGAAGAGAAACAGACTTACAGATACAGAGAACAATTTGAAGGTTGCTGGATGGAAGGGGTAGGAGTATGGGTGTAAAAGTTGAAGGGATTTAGAAGTACTAATTTGTAGTTACAGAAACACCATGGGGTTGTAAAGTACAACATAGGGAATATAGTCAGTAATCTTAACTATTATTGTGTCAGATGGGTGTTAGATTTATCAGGATGATCACTTAGTTATATAATGTCCAATCACGAGTGCACACCTGTAGCTAATATAATATTGTATGTCAACTGCAATTGAAAAATAAAAAATGATTACAAAACATAAGTGATGGTTGCAGTTACGGGAATAAAAGATATCAAATAAGTTGAATACAAAAATTAGGCAGAGAAGAACCCAAATATGTGATGAAGAATTGAATTCAAAGTGGATAGTTAGAGGGAGAGAGTACATGATTCTGACAAAAATAGTAAAGGCTAGTTAAAAAAAGAAAATTTTCCAGTTGTTATTTTTGAATTGTCTGTTCCTTTTAATTCCATCATTTTTTTCCAGGTATATTGAGAATCTCTTGTTATGTGCATACATGTTTATCATACTATATCTTCTTGATGAGCTGGCCTTTTAAATTATAAATATCTTTCTTTGTCTCTAATAACAATTTTTATAATATATTGTATTTTGTCTGCTATTAGTATAGCCACTCCAGGTATCTTTTGGCACTGTTTACAGGGTATATCTTTTTCTACCCTTTTACTTTCAACAAATTTTTACTTTGAATCTAAAATGTTTCTGTTGTAGTTGGATAATGTTTGCCTTTTGACTGGTTTGTTCATTCCATGTGTGTTTACTGTAATTACACATAAGGTAGGATTACACCTGCCACTTTTTATTTGTGTTTTATGTATAGGATGTCTCCTTTTGTTTCTCATTGCTTCTCATTACTGCTTTCTTTTGTATTAGATATTTTTGGTGTACTATTTTAGTTCTCTTGGGTTTGTTTTTTTTTGTTGCTATTTTTTGATTTATTTTTTAATGATTGACCTGGGGATTAAAATGAAATCTTAACTAAAAGAATGTAGTTTGAGTTAATGTCAATTTGATTACATTGGAATACAGACCTTTTTCTTTTTATATAATTTCACTTCTCCCTTTTCCTTTGTGCTGTTATTGTTGTGCAAATTATATCTTTCTTTGTATGCTTAGCAATACATGATTGTTGCTTTATGCGATTTCTTTAAATTTATATATTAGTTTTTTGCTGTTGCTTGTGTAGAGTTAACATAGCAGACCTCATTGCTTATCATTTTAATGAACTGCTTATGAGGTTCACCCTTGGCTTACATCTGAGAAGTTGCATTTCAGAAGGGTTCCCACCTACCTACGTGATAAGAATGGGTTGTTATGCCTAACTTGCTTACAAACAATATAGTTTATGCTAAACACTTGCTTTTCTTATGGGAGTGTGAAATTTGGGTATGTGCTAGGCAGAGGTTGTATATTATGTTTAGTCCCTATATTGTTGAGTCCTGTGAGTCCCTCTAGCAATTCATTGAAACTGGGTGATCCTGAATACTCCCTATGTACTGGTGTTATAGATTCGCACAAATTTGGTGGCCTTAAACAACTTAAGTTTATTTTCTTAAAGTTTTGGAAGAAATCTGAAATGAGTTTCATTGGGCTAAAGTCAATGTGTCAGTATTGCTGTGTTACTTCTGGAGATTCTAGAAAAGAACCTGTTTTCTTGCCTTTCTGTTTTCTAGAAGCTTTTTGCTTTATCCACTCATGGCTACCCCATTCCATCTGCAAATCTAACAATATCTAGTCAAGCCTTTCTTATGCACCATCACTCTCACATCCACTTTCTTGCTTGTTCCTGTTATTTATAAGGACTGCTATGATTATGTGGTGACCAACCAAACCATCTAGGATAATCTTCCCACCTTAACTTCCTATATTTGTCATAGCTTCAAAGTCTGTTTTGTCATTTAAAGTGATATATATGTTGAGGTTCTAGGAATTAGAGCATGGACTTTTTGGCATGGACCAGTGTTGTACCTACCACAGTCAGGAAAAATGGAGAGTTAGAAACAAAAAATATGTTACTTCTGCCTTTTATCTTTACTTACATAATTATCCTTATTGATGTTCTTTTGCCTTTGGATTGGAGTTGCTGTCTAGTATCTTTTCATTTCAGTCTGAAGGACTTCTTTTATATTTCTTGTAAGGCACTCTGGTTATGATGAATTTTCTGTGCTCGTTTATCTTGGAATGTCTTAGTATTGGCTTCAGTTTTGCAGGATGGTTTTGTTGGATATGAAATTCTTGGTTGACAGTCTTTTTATTGTAGCACTCTGAATGTCATTCTCCTACCTTCTGGTCTCCTAGGTTACCAGTGAGAAATCAGCTGAGCATATCTTGTACATGATTTCCATCTCTGTTGCTGCTCTTAAGATTCTGTTTTTCAACAGTTTGGTTATGATGCGTCTATGTTTGGGTCACTTCGATTTAATTCTGTTTGGAGTTTGTTGAGCTTCTGGGATGTACAGATCATTTTTCAATGAATTTGGGAAGTTTTTGGCTATTATTTCTTAAAATACTCTTTTTGTCCCCTTCTTTTTTCTTCTTCTTCTGGGATACCTGTTAGGCATTTGTTGGTTTGCTTGATGGTTTCAGTTATTGTACTTTCCAGCTCCAGAATTTCTATCTGGATCCTTTTTAGTAATTTTCGTTTCTTTTTATTGATATTCTGTTTGATGAGACATCATTCTCATACATTCTTTAGTTCCTTAGACACGTCTTCCCTGGTTCTTTAAATACATTTAAAATAGATGATTTATTGTCCTTATTTTGTTAGTCTAAGTTTAACAAAGGCTTCTTGAGGGTCAGTTTCTATTGATTTCTTTTTTTCCTGTTTATGGAACCATGCTGTCCTTGTATGTTTCACACCTTCTTGAAAACTGAACATTTTAAATACTATTGTGTGCCACCTCTGGAAATCAGATTCTCCTCCCTCCCCAAGTTTTTTTGTTTGTTTATCCTTATTTATTCACTTAGTGACTTTAAGAACTAATTACTTTTATTTTTTAAAAATTTATTTATTTTTAGACAGAGGGAAAGGGAGGGAGAGAGGGAGGGAAAGAAATATCAATTTGTGGTTGCCTATCATGTGCCCTACTGGGGACCTGGCCTACAGCCCTGGCATGTGCCCTGACTGGGAAATGAACTAGTGACTCTTTGGTTTGCAGGCTGGTACTCAATCCACTGAGCCACACAAGCCAGGGCAAGAACTAATTTTTTAAAGTCTGAGTTCTTTGTTGTGTGTGGTGACTGATGACTGTTCAGTTAGTTTAGTTGTTAGCTAATGATTAGGGAGACATTTCCTTAGATGCCTGCAACCAGTAAGTCTCATAATCTTTATTGAGGGGTTTTCTGCCTGTGTGTTGGGTCTGGCCTTCAGCACTCTTCCAGGCATTTACCTCTCCACTTTAGTCTTCATTTACTGCTCCACAGAGCCTCATGGTTAGCCAGAAGTGAAAGCCTTAGGACCTTCTTAGGCCTTACTTTAGTATGCAACATCCTTGGACATCTGATTGACTTACACATCCCCAGAAATCTGTTGCAGATTCTCAAAGTTTTCTGTTGACATCTCATTTGTCAGCTTTTCTAAAAAAATTTTTTTCCTTAACCTATTGTTTTGCCCCCAACTGTTTTCCCCTTCCTCAGACATTTGAAATAATTCAATAATTGCCTGATTGGTTTTAACAAACACCCCAGGCTTTTTGCAGTGTAAAAGCTTTGAATCAGGGTAAGTAGAGACAGCCTTTCAGGTGGGGCCTACCAACTTAGATATGTCAAATAATGATAATTTTGGGAGAATTGGACTTTGAAGGTATTTCTGCCCCATCTGTTCTCTCCTCTGGTTTCCAGGCTGCTCATTTTCATGGTACATGTGGGCTGTTGGTTTACATTGCTACTTTGAAATGGTAGTAGAGGGCAGGGAGATAGGAATAAGAAGGGTCAGAAACACCACAAGGCTCTCACTTTTTATTGAGATAGTTAAATGCTGCCTATATTGCTGCTGCTAGCCGTTGGTTAATTTCAGAGTTCTGAGAAAGTTGATCCTGATGTTTTTTTTCTCTTACAGAAGAGAATTTTGGTAGTTCTTTACTGTTTTTTGTTGATGTCCTTGACCCTTTTTATATCTGCCATCTTTATATCTGCCATTGCCCTGTAGGAATTTAAGTTTATGGGATTATCTCTTAACATTTTTGACTCTCAAAAACTGGTTTTTTTTTTTAAACTTAGATAGACAGGAGTGTGAAAAACACTAAGTTAAACTCTGTATAAAATAATGATTTTTTCTTTATTCTCAATAATTGGGGAAAATAAAGGACCTCAAAAAGATGTATAAAGTATTAATATTATATGTTTCTTGTTGGTGTTTTTATGCTGACATTTTGTGTGTGTGTGTGTGTGTGTGTGTGTGTGTGTGTGTGTTTCTTCTTATTAATTTTTTTTTTTTTTCCACCTCCTAAGGTAGTAAAGAATGCTGATGGGAGAACCATTTCCCTAATTTTCAGATTGTTGAGCTGGTTGCCATGATGGGTGAGTTTAAACTAAAAGAATATTTTGTCTATAATTAAAGGATAAAATAGGAGAGAAATTTTTTTCTCTGTGTGCATGATAAACTTGCAGTCACTATGGAAAACAGTATAGAGGGCTCTCAAAAAATTGAGAAAGGAACTGCTTTATGACCCAGCAATTCTACTTCTGGGCATGTATTTAAAGAAACCCAAAATAGTAATTTGAAAGAATATATGCACCCCTGTGTTCATTGCAGCATTATTTACAGTAGCCAAGCTCTGAAAGCAACCCAAGTGTCCATTAGTAAACAAGTGGGTAAAAAAGCTGTGGTGTGCAGATGGTCAAAAAATGGCTCCAGTAGTGCTTAATTGTTTTTAATTTCAGTTGAAACAATTTTGTTACATTGAGAATACATTGTATTCTTACAGCCCTCATGTCAGTGTGCATTTAAAAAAAAATCAAAATTGGTGAATTTCTGTGTAGCCATTTTAATATCGAAGATGGGAGAAAATAAGCAAGAGTTTCAGCATATTATGCTTTATTACTTCAAGAAAGGTAAAAATACAAGTGAAATGCAAAGATAGATTTGTGCTGTGTATGGAGAAGGTGCTGTGACTGACTGAACATGTCAGAAGTGGTTTGTGAGGTTTCTTGGTACTATTGACATTTTGGCTGAATAATTCTTTACTGTGGGACTGTCTTATGCATTGGAAGATGTTTAGCAGCACCCCTGGCCTCTATCCACTAGAAGCTAGGAGCAGGAGATAGCCAGCATATGCAAAATATCCAAATCAATAAAGTTATTGGTGGAAATGAAAAATGTATCTTTTATTTTATGGGAAAATACTAAATGGACTATTTGGCCAACCCAATTCTTGTATACAATAGAATATCACTTCACCATAAAAAAATGAAATCATTTGCAACAGCATGGATGGATGAAGAGGGTATTATGCTAAATGAAATAAGTCAGTCAGAGAAAGCCAAATACCATATGATTTCACTTGTATGTGGAATCTAAACAATATAAATGAACAAATAAAAGACAGAGTCATAGACCTAGAAAACAAACTGATGGCTGCCAGAGGGGAGGGAAGTTGGGGAACTGGGTGTAAACGGTGAGGAATTGAGAAGTACAGGTTGGTAATTACAAAATAGTCATGGGGTTATGAAGTACAGCATAGGAAATATAGTCAATAATATTGTAATAACTATGTATGTATGATATGGGAAATATCAGTACCCAATACTGATATATATAAGGTATATGACTGTATAACTACTATGTTGTATACTTGAAACTAATATAAAATAATATTGAATGTAAACTATAATTGAAAAAAGTAAAAAAAATTTTATAATATAATAGATTTATGTAATGTTTTATATTTACTTACAGATTTTCAGTTAAAGAACTTCTTATATTGTTACAGTCTTGGAATGATCATTTTATACAGATTGTTGAAGGGGCATTCAAAACAAACTGTTAAAACGGATTCTCTTAGAGTCTGATGGCCAGAAAGATACTTTATAAATAGACCTGACTTTTCAAGATGGAAAGAATGCTGATGAATTACCCAACAATGAGTTCTAATTACCCAACAATGTAATAATATAGGAAGCTAAAGAAAATAGCAGTATAAAAATAATAAATTATAAACTGTTATAACAATAGAGCAGCAAATAAATGGCACTCAGGATATATTTTACAGCTCTTGCAAATATCATAACATTAATAGAAAGGCAGGCTAAAGAATGGAAATGGGTTGTGGGTGTTCAGTTTACATATCAATTTTTCTTCTTTACCTTTTTTTTTTCTTTTCTTCTGGTGGTTATGGATTCTAATATGAGTCAGGGATTGAACAGGGAAAAGCTAGAAAGAAATGGAGTGAATGACCCTTCAAAACTAAGTTTTTAAACCTAGATTTATACCAATATCTTAAGTCTGACATGTTTGTCTTAGTCACACTTTTCCTACTACTTGCTTAATGTATTATTCACTATTATATGCATGTGTATAACATTATAGGCCAAGGAGCTGAAATTTGTCCGTGTTCTTTAATGGAAGTGCTAGCACACTTTCAGAGTGTTTACTTATTTAAGTGTGTTAGCCAAATTGTCACTTTCCTACTTTTTAAATTTCCACTCTCTTTGTAACCGTGATTGTAGTGCCATCATGTGGTCCAAATTCTCCACTTTTGTCAGCTTCAAATTGGATATCTTTTTTACTGAACTCCTATCAACTTTTTATTTTGGTTAGTCATACTTACAATCTGACCTGTGTATTAAATTGATTTCTACCATACTTCGCAAATGAGACTTCACTATAGTAAGTAATAAAACAAAGAACAGCCACTGCTTAAAGTCATATACCAAAGTAGTCATAGAAAAATACGAATATTTTAAAGTGTGAATCACAGTTATTTGAAATTTTTATTGAGGATGTTCTACAATTATTTTTTAAGTATAATGAATAAGCACATAAGGTATCTAATTACACATATCTAGTAAAAGATTTTATTTGAAATTATTTCCCAAATATTTTCTGCTTTTGTGCTCAACTGAATGACTGTCCTTTCAACATATGCCAGCAACTCACTGCTTACTTTGTGAGACTGTTGGTTAGACTGTGGAATTCTCTGGGCATCTACACTACTTATTAGATCAATTCCTGATCCTTAGAGCATTTATAATCTGTCTTATCTGCCAGGTATCTCATGACCACCACAGAGATTCTTTTTTTTATAACTATACTTTATTGATAATGCTATTACAATTGTCCCATTCTTTTTATCACCCTCTGCCCTGTACCCTCATCCTCTCCAGCATCCTCCCCCACCCTTAGTTCATGTCCATGGATTGTACATATAAATTCTTTGGCTTCTCCATTTCCTATGCTGTTCTTAACCTCCTACTGTCTATTTTGTACCTACCAATTATGCTTCTTATTCCATGTACCTTTTCCACCTTTCTCCCCGCTCCAACTCCCCACTGACAACCCTCTGTGTGATCTCCATTTCCGTGATTCTGTTCCTGTTCTAGTTGTTTCCCTAGTTTGTATTTGTTTTCTGTTTTTGTTTTGTTTTTGCTTCGGTTGCTGATAGTTGTGAGTTTATTGTCATTTTCCTGTTAATAGTTTTGGTCCTTTTCTTAAATAAGTCCCTTTAACATTTCCTATAATAAGGGTTTGGTGATGATGAACTCCTTTAGCTTTACCTTGTCTGGGAAGCACTTTACCTGTCCTTCCATTCTAAATGATAGCATTGCTGGATAGAGTAATTTGGGTTGCAGGTCTTTGCTTTTTATCACTTTGAATATTTCTTGCCAGTCCCTTCTAGCCTGCAAAGTTTCTTTTGAGAAATCAGTTGTCAATCTTATGGGAAATCCTTTGTAGGTAACTGCTTTTTCTCTTGTTGCTTTTAAGATTCTCTCTTTATTTTTAACTTCTGGCATTTTAATTATGATGTGTCTCAGAGTGGTCCTCATTGGGTCTAGCTTGTTTGGGACTCCCTGAGTTTCCTGGACTTGTATGTCTATTTCCTTCTTTAGATTGGGGAAGTGTTCTTTCATTATTTTTTCAAATAACTTTTCAATTCATTGCTCTTCGTCTTCTCCTTCTGGCATCCCTCTGATTCAGATGTTGGAACCTTTAAAGTTGTCCCAGAGGTTCCTAAGCCTCTTCTCATTTTGGGGGGTTCTTGTTTCTTCATTCTATTTTGGTTGAATGTTTATTTCTTCCTTTTGTTCCAAATCATTGATTTGAGTCCCAGTTTCCTTCCCTTCATTGTTGGTTCTCTGTATATTTTTCTTTATTTCACTGGGTGTAGCCTTTACTTACTCATTTTGTGACCATATTCAACTATTTCTGTGAGCATCCTGAATATCAGTGTTTTGAACTCTGCATCTGATAGGTTGTCTATTTCCTTGTCGCTTAGTTCATTTTCTGGAGTTTTGATCTGTTCTTTCATTTGGGCCATATTTCTTTGTCTAAGGTGTGAAGCCTTGGGTATTTGCCAGGGTGGGGCAACCCAATTCGCTTTGCTGTGGTGCTGTATGTGGAGGAGGGATCAGAGAGGGAACAGTGCTGCTTGTTTGGCTCTTGCCCCACTTTCAGCCACTTCTCCCACTACCCACAAGCTAATTGCACCCTTCAAGGTGCTACCCTGGCGCTGATTCCCAGGTAGGTGGGCTTGTGTACATTCCAGGACGCCATGCACCCCTTCAACGGCTCTCCTGTGAGACTGTCAGTTTTTCCCACTGCTGCAACCCTCACAAGTTTTTGCAGCCAGAGATTTTGAGGCTTCATTTTCCTGCACTAGAACTCTGGGTTGCCTGGTCTGTCTCACTTCCCAGTTGTTCCTCCTGGTTTATCCACGTGCGAATGTGGGACCACCTGGTCTGCCAGCTGCTGCCTTGCCCTGCTGTGCGTTATCTCTGCCCTGGCTGCCTGTCTCCACCCCTCCTATCAGTCTGAATGAATGTTTCTTCCTTAACTCCTTGGTTGTCAGACTTCTATTCAGTTTGATTTTCTGGCAGTTCTGGTTGTTCTTTGTTTTTTAAATTAGTTGTTATCCTTCTTTTGGTTGTGCGAGGAAGTGAAGTGTATCTACCTCTGCCTCTGTCTCTTGGCCAGATGAGATTCTTAATAGAGTAAAACAGTCTAAGAATTGTTAGAATAGTGCTCCTGGTGTATCTCAGCTTACCACTGTGCTTGATCTTTCGTAGATTTGTTAGCTTACGTCTTGTCAGCTCCCTCAAAGTAAGTTTCCTATTGGGTGCTTATCTACAATGTGATTCTTCTTCAGGTTAAAAAAGTGGAACTCAGTTAAATTGCTCTTTATTAGTATGTCATCTTTCTGTGGAGTTACTTGTATTCACATGGCCCTCTTTTGTATATGTATGATAAATAGAAAATGGTACTTTTTTTCTTTAAACAAGGAAATTAGTATATATAAATGTGTTAAGAGATTTAGGCCAAAGTCTCCTCAGGCATTTATTTATTTTGGTATTGTGATATTAAACATGTGACAATGCCTAAATTCAAGTGTTTGTTTTTTCTAATAAAGAAAATAATTAAAACATAAATATGTTTAAATATTAGAATTCCCTTCATCCAGTGCAGAATTAAAGATCTTACTTTTCTCAAGAAGGTTACATCAGATAATTTTATTCCAGTTGAGATCATTTTTAGCTAATTTTTTTTCCTAAGGGAAGATACATTTTTATAAAAAAATGACGTAGTCTGACTTGGACCCGTGGACAGTACACATGTGATTATATTATATCCACTGGCTCAGTTACTCTTTGGCTAAGCTAACATGATGAAATTTTATTTTACAAAGGTTACTTATAAAATTTTCTCTAAACCTGGAATTTATTAGTAAAACCCTTGGAGCCATTAATTTTAATTTTAGTTTTACTACATAACATATTGAATGTTAAGAAAAAATTAGTACATTATTTTACAGAAGTCTGCTGTTTGTGTGTTAGAAAGACTGCTAAAGCCACATTCTTGTTAATGATTTTTCCTTACAAGATCAAGCATGTTTTAATTATTTCTACTCTGGAACATAAATTATTACTACTCTGGAACATTTAGTACTCACCGAAATGGTTATACTTTAAAATGTAAGCTATAAAGTTCCTCATTTCCTTTATTTACCAATTGTTGATTATTATTAGTGAAATTGATTTACTGGTGAAAGGCAATTACAGTTTCTCTGAAGTTTTCCAGAGAGCATATAATTGGCATTTCTTAGGAAAAAGTTAAAATTTTATGGTTTATGATTCTTTTGCTCAGTTTTATGGGTTTAGTACTTCTTTTTCCTTAGGAATGGAGTTTGTTTTTTATTGTTGCCATTTGGATTGTTTCTGGCTGAGATCATTAAATAGTCTTAAATGTTTGTAGTTTTATTGAACTTTATGGTGAAGAAGTTCAAGAGAACACTCCATAAAATCAGTAGGCCATTACCTACAGATAAAGCCTTTGTTTCTGACTTGAAGTGCTGATGAAAGAGAAAGCTCTAAGAGGAATTCTGTACTTTGAACATAAATGCTTAAGTAATGATGATATTTATAGAAAGTTGTTTTATTTCCCCACCCCACTTTTTTAAAATTAAAATTTTACTTGTGATGTTTTGTTCAGATGTCATAGAAAAGGGCTGTTTTGACCCATATCCTAAGATGTTACACAATTAGAAGAAGCAGAATGACTTTATCTTTTTTTAAACAAAAGATTTTATTTATTTATTTTTAGAGAGGGGTAAGGGAGGGAGTGAGGGAGAGAAACATTAATGTGAAAGAGAAACATCATCCATTGCCTCCTGTATGCACCCTGAACGAGGACTGAACCTGCAACCCAGGTGTGTGCCCTGACTGGGGATCAAACTGGTGACCTTTCACTTTGCAAGATCATGCTCAACCCACTGAATCACAGTGGTCCAGGCCAGAATGACTTCATCTTGCTTGTAATTGTCTCATGTGTGGGACACCTAGGATGCTAGTGTTTGAGTCCAGTGCTACTTAATGTCACAAAAATAATACAAGTGTAGGCTTTGTACATGTTTTAGATGCATTTTTACATTACATTTCACTATAAATTTTGTGTTGGATGTCAATAGTAAATACACAGTGAAGTTACAATTCTGAGTATGCTATTTTAAAAATACCTAGATGACCAGCAAGCTTTGAACTCAATCATGCAAGATTTGGCTGTTCTTCATAAGGCCAGTCGACCAGCATTATCCTTACAGGAAACCAGAAAAACAAAATCTTTATCACCAAAAAAGCAGGTATTTGTTTCAATAATGTTTTAATAGATTTATAGTGTTCTATGAATTATTTTTCTTGAATATCCTGATCTTATAGAGATTTTGCTTAAAGTGTTGAACTTTTACACTTTTGAATCAGTTATTTTGTTAAACTTTTTTTTTCCATAAAGGGTGTGTATTTTAAAAAATGAATGCTAGAGCTTCAATTAACTTGGTAACTGCTTTCTGAAGCTGATATTTCATTCATTCTTAAAGCACTTAAGATAAGCAAATTGTTTTTATATATAGTAATTTGTTCTGTATATTTCCAAATGAGGATCATTTTGAATCATATAGATAAAATTTGTTTGGGATGGTGACGTGAAAAGTGGAAATATATTATCTTATATTTTCGTCTAACAGGATTAGCAAATGTCGCATACCCATGATGCCATTACTAACAGATCTTGGTGATATTTCTTGTTGATCCCAGATTGAGCTACATAATTCTCAACTTGGCTCTTTGGCAGACCCTGTCAGTTGATTGGAGTTAATACTTAAACCTCCTTCCCCCTCTGCTCTGTTTTTAATGAATGACTAAGGAAAAAAAAACTGATTTAGGAATTGTAGGAATTTATTTGATTTCTGAAATTATTTATTATTTCATTACAGAGTGATGTCCGAGTCAAATTTGAACATAGAGGAGAAAAAAGGTAAGGAAAGAAGCATTACAATTCAGGTTATTGATTTAATTAAATGTGTGTTCTAGTTAAAGCTATTAGAGGTTCTTTCTATATTTTAATGAAGGTTCATGGCTTACAAATAGGGAATGAAATAGTCCTTGGCAGTGTGTCACACGTATTTAGACTTAAGATAGAAGCTGTCAAAATTCAGGCTAAACATTAAAAATGATAAATATTTTTACTTAGCAGTATTAGGAAATAAGTAAGATCATTGCATGATGAAGCCTTTAAATATTACCATTTCCTTTTATTTTTAATCAGTGGAAATTAAATATATTTCTCCTTATAATGGTATTAATTGCTTCAGATACTATACAGAATTTACTTAATGTACACAATTTTGATTATTCTCAAGAGACTTCAATCATGTGACATGTACGTAATTAGTAACATTGAGGGGAGTGAGTTGGAATGGTGGCTACAAATTATTTAGCCGAGATGTATGCCTAGTCTTCTTCCAGGTATCTGTGTCTCAGTACAGTAGTGGAAGTGGGTGTGGGTGGTTAACAACAGAGTTTCTAACAGGCTTAATAGGAATTGGAGAATATGGGATTTCATTTTTGTTATTAATGTCTCATTAAGTTAATTTGATGAAAGATCTATCCATTTAAGGACTTTAAAAAGGCTCTCAAATCATATAACCTAAGATGTAAAAATATTTTACACAGAGAGATGTTTAAAAAAATGGGATATACCAGATATACCGTACAAATGTTGTCCAGTCTACTTTTTTTCTGTGTACCATTCTCTTATGGATATTTTCACAGTTCATTTTTTCATTCAGGGAGGACTATTTATTGAGTACTTACTATCTGCTGGGCTATGAAGGAATAAAGTGAGTGAAACAGATGGTCCCTCCCCTTACAGAACTTATAGTCTAGTATATTAGTCTCCAAGCTTAGGTGTGTACTCCCCAGGGGCAGCACAGGCCACTCTGTTGTGGTAAATTAGAATTAAAAATTTTGAGAATTTCTTTCAGATAATTTTTATTAGCATGGAACAAACGTCAAAGTTTTTGAACTTTATGTTGAGAATTAGTGCACTGGATCAAAAATAAGCCATTGTAACGTTCAAGTAAAGTAAATGTTTACATTTTTACTTAATGTTAATTTCTCTATTCAAGAGATAACTGTTGCAAGTTTGCTTTTAAACTATGTCTAAAAAAATAATATATTTTAAAAATTCTTTTTACACAGAATCCTTCAGTTCCCCAGACCAGTTAAACTGGAAGACCTGAAGTCTAAAGCTAAAATTGCCTTTGGACAGTCTATGGATCTACATTATACCAATAATGAGGTAAACATGTAAAGTTTAACTTTAAGTACTCATTTTAGAAAGTAGTGTGTTCATTTCAGAGATTTTTTAGGACTGTTGTGCTTTTATTTAGGGATTGATAAGGGTATGGTATATTAGAGGAATGATGTAGCACAGTTAAATTTCTAAATTTTAACTAATTAAAATGGATTTTTTCATTGTCAAAAATATTAAAAGGTGGTACTGTGAAAATAATTGAATGAGAATCTATTAAAGGAGGAAATATATACAAGGTCTGTCCAGAAAGTATCCAGGCATGTGCTGTGAAAAATAGAGACACTTATTGAAGAAGATACAAGATACAAGAAACATTGTACACAGGACAATGATGCCTCAGTCCCCTTCAAAGTAGGTACGCTGGGACCTCACACAGTTCTCCCAGTTGCCATCAGGTGCCCTGTCATATTTTCCTGAATTTCATCCACAGTCTGAAATCTCTTCCTTTTCAAAGGCGTTTTAGTTTTGGGAAAAGCCAGAAGTCGCAGGGTACCAAATCTGGGCTGTAGGGTGGCTGAGCCACCTGGGTGATTTGATGTTTTGCCAAAAAACTCTGCATGACTAGTGATGCATGAACAGGAGTGTTGTTCTGATGAAGTTTCCAACCACCAGTTGCCCATAGCTGTGACCTCTTGAATCACCTGAATAGTTTCCACAGAGGAATGTGCAAGCTTAACACAAAATTTGATGCCAGTTCTTTTCCGTACTTGCTCAGTCATTTTGAACGCAACAGCCACATAGTATACCTGTTCACTCAATGGCATCTACAATGCCCACTGACTAGTACAGTGAAGTTGTCATTGTTCACATATGCCCATTCCAGTCCATTCTCCTTGGCTGCCAGATTACATTGGATGTTGCTCAAACCCTTCTTGTGATTTTAGCAGTGGCTGGATTTTTCCTGGACAGACCTGGTATATTAGAAGTTTGCTGCTTATTTATGTTTTATTTTTACTTTGTGTACTTTATTGATAAACTGTCTTTTCTCATAGTCTGTAGTGTGCTACAGAGACAATGGAGCTTTGGTAGTGAGGCAGTTTAAAACTTACAGGATTATTTTCATGTTGGTTAAGACACGATTAGATCACATTTATATTTGGGAGTCAGTGCATGATCTTAAAGGCTTCCTGTGGCACTGAGGAGCTCTGTGTTCTAGGGAAACTCCTTTTGAACTTTCTGTAAAATGTATATTGGATTAGATGATATTTTAGTTTCAGATCCAATGAGATCTTAAAATTTTTAGGGACAGTGTTGTTAACTTATTGATTTGTACTGTTTGTTCGTTTGGTTTTTTGCCCCACTCAGAAAATACTTGTTGAATTTGCCAGTCATAATGCTATGATTTAGGAATTGCAGCCCCTCATGAAATTTATAGACTTGTAGTAGTATAAGCAGACAATTAATAAAAGAATTGTTTAAAGATCTTAAGTTCTTTGAAGAAAATGCATAAAGTATTGGGATAAAGAATAAAGGCAAGGCCAGTAGATCTTCTGTTTAGATAGTACTAAGGAAGAACTAATTGAGGTGGTACTTTTTAAGTACTGAGATTTGAAGTATAAAAAGCCAACATTGCAGAGTTTGAGAGATGGAACATTCTTGGTAGAGAAAGAAGCTTGAGAGCAGTGCAGAGGTCCTATAATGGAAAAGACTACTGTGTTTCAGGAATAGAATAAGTACCAGTGGGAATGGAGTGACAGTGGAAAGCTTAGGAAAAAATTAGAATACAAGCAGCATTGCTTTGTAGATGTTAAAACGTTGTGCAAATAAAAATATTTGAAAATATTAGATTTTCAAATGAATTATCGTTCATTTAAAGCAAAAGAATATGCTAATGCAGCTTATCTAAAGAGACACAGCTGAAAGCAGAAAATATTTTGATAAAAAATTCCATATCCAAAAAAGTAATATATCTGAACAAAGTGATGAGAACCATAATATAGTAATATCTTAAAATTTTGATTTTCAAATACTTTTTGGCTTTTCTGTTAGCCACGAACACCTCTTGTTGCCTTACCCCATCTTGACCCTTATTATTAATGTTTGTGCTGGCCTGATTTCCCACTGCCAGCCCCTGAGACTCTGATGGATTTTCAGGGGTATGGCTCTAGGGTCTAGGCTGAAGTACATATCAAGGATGGGGTAGGAGGTGGAGATGGATAGACTGTGCTTACCCACAGTGGTTAACTAGCTGGGTAATATGCCCTTTTTGGGTCTCCTTCTCTTCCTTGTGTTCCCCATTTTCCTCCCAGTGTTCCCTGGTGTATCTTTAACAGCCTTGAACTTGAATCTTTTTCTTATAGTATGATTCTAGGGGGACCCAGATTAGGGGAACCCAGATGCATCTTCTTTTTTTCTTTTTTTAGATTTTATTTATTTATTTTTAGAGAGAGAGGTGGGGAGGGAGAAAGAGAAGGAGGAAAACATCAATGTGTGGTTGGCTCTTGCATGCCCCCAGCTGGGGACCTGGTCTGCAACCCAGGCATGTGCCCTGACTGGGGGTCATACTGGCAACCATTTGTTTTATGGGATAAGCTCAGCCACCTGAGCCACACTGGTCAGGGCCTTTACATGAGGCTTGTTTATTCCAAAATTGTATTATAGGTACTTCTGGTCAAGATGGAGGCATAGGCAGACATGCTTTGTCTCCTTGCACAATTGTAAGAAGGATTACAACTAACCTAAAAACAACGCCCAGAACAGCCAGAGAATTGAACTGTTTGGAAATCCGACAAACAAGGATTTAAAGAAGACATATCCAGATGGGTAGGAGGGGCAGAAACAGGGAGCCAGAGCAGAGAAGATGTGGTGTGGCGGTGGTGACTAGGCAGTGGTGGCAGCCTGTGCAACAAGCAGTTCCACATTAGGGATACTTGGGGAGTGAGCCCCAGGCCAGACTATGCAGCCCAGGGTTCCACTGTTGGGCAAATAAAGCCTCATAACTCCTGGCTATAAAAACCAGTGGGGGTTGGGACAGTGAAAGAAATTGCTTTCTCTCAGGATAGTCCATTAAAAGGGACTGCAGGGTCCTAGAACCCACTCTGGGAATCACCAGCAGGGTAATTGCTAGAGTGGTGCCAGTCCCATAAGTGACTGGAAGTGGAATGAGTGCTGAACAAGCCTCCAGCAGTCAGGCAGCGGGATTGCCCCCTTTCTTACTCCTCCCCCACATAAAAAGCCACTAAGTGCTGAAGTGGGCTGCCCTTGTCCTGGCGATTAACTAACTCTCTATCCCATTCAAAGTAACAGGTACACCCAGTACGGGGAGTCAAAGCAGCTCTACCTAATACATAGAAACGAACACTGGGAGGCTGCCAAGTTGGGGAGACAAAGAAATATGGCCCAAATGAAAGAATAGAACAAAACCCCAGGGACAAAACTAAGGGAAATGGAGATAGACGACCTATCAGGTGCAGAGTTTAAACCACTGGCAATAAGCATGCTTAAAAGTCCTACTGAGTACGGCAAAAGTGTAAGTGAAGAAATGAAGGCCACACTAAGTGAAATAAAGAAAAATCCATAGGGAGCCAACAGGGAAGGGAAGGAAGCCAGGATTCAAATCAACGAATTGGAACATAAGGAAGAAATAAACATTCAACCAGAACAGAATGAAGAGACAGGAATTCCAAAAAACAAGAAGAGTTAAGTCGACTCCGGGACATCTCCAAACGTGCCAACAGCTGAATCATAGGGATGCCAGTAGGGTAAGAGGAAGACCAGGAAATCAAAAACTTACTTGAAAAAATAATGAAAGGAAACTTCCCTAATTTGGCAAAGGAAATAGACATACAAGTCCAGGAAGCACAGAGTTCCAAACAAGTTGGACCCAAAGAGGACCACACCAAGACACATCATAATTAAGATGCCAAAGGTTAAAGATAAAGAGAGAACCTTAAAAAGCAGCAAGAGAAAAGAAGAGTTACCTTCAAAGGAGTTCCCATAAGACTGTCAGCTGATCTCTCAAAAGAAACTTTGCAGGCAAGAAGGGACTGGCGGGAAGTATTTAAAGTGATGAAAAGCAAGGACCTACAACTAAGATTACTCTATCCAGCAAAGCTATCATTTAGAATCAAAGGGCAGATAAAGTGCTTCCCAGACAAGGTAAAGCTAAAGGAATTCATCATCACCAAGTCATTATTATGTGAAATATTAAAGGTATTCATTTAAGAAACAGCAGGTCAAAACTATGAACATTAAAGTGACAACAGACACAACTATCAACAACTGAACCTAAAACAAAAAACAAAAACAAAGTAAGCAAACAACCAGAACAGGAACAGAATCATAGGTATGAGATCATCTGGAGGATTATTAGGGGATAGGAGGAAGAAGGAGAATGGGGTAAAGGTACAGGGAACAAGAAGCATAATTGGTAGGTACAAAATAGAGAGGGGCATGTTAACAACAGTATTGGAAATGGAGACACCAAAGTACTCATATGCATGACCCATGGACATGAATTAAGTAGGGGTATTGCTGAAGGGAAGGGCACTGCTGGGCGGAGGAGAGCAAAGGGGGGAAATTTGGACAACTGTAATAGCTAATCAGGAAAACATACCTAAAAAAATTGTATCATAGAAAACTTTCAAATGCCAAGATACATTAAGACTACAATATTGTCTTGATTTACCAGCCACGTGGGACTGTCATGAAAAATGATGTTTGGCCCTAGTTCGTGTGGCTCAGTGGATTGAGCACTGGCTTGCGAATCAAAAGGTTGCTGATTTGATTCCCATCAGGGCACACGCCTGGGTTTTGGACCAGGTCCCCAGTAGGGGGCGCACAAGAGGCAACCACACATTGAGGTTTCTCTCCTCTTTCTCCCTCCCTTCCCCGCTCTCTAAAGATAGATAAATAAAAATCTTAAAAAAGAAAGAAAAATGATGTTTGACATTATTTGTTCATACTGTACCTGTTCTTGTTTGTAGAATTACTGTGTTTTATCAGAGGTCTCTTTTTGTTCATATAATTTTGTAGGGTTTTCTGGAGGATAGGTGACATCAAGCTAATTGACCTGTTGTTTTAGGAACTCTCTTTGGTTTTCTAAACATAGGAAGCTTTTTTCATTTTGTTTTTTTCCCCTCAAGCTTTCTGAAGAATTTCTGGGAGTGGTCTGCCATTTTATCTGGATAGCCTTTGGGCAGGAATGTGGTAAAGGGGCATTAGGGTGAGACTATGTTCTTTAAAATTTCTTTGAATTTAGAGATTCTTTGAGAATTCGTGATTCTGCAAATTCACAGTGCATGCCCTTGGTCATTTGAGGTACTAGTCACAAACTTGTAAGAGGTGTAAGTTTTGTGGGCCTGTGGACAAGCAAAAAAATCATTTACACTGCTTGTTATTCCAGTTCTATCAATATTTGTTCTAGTGTAATATAAATTTTCTTTGAAAAGAACCATTCTATAAACTTCTAGCTTGCCAGAATTGGACCAACATGGAAATTTAAGCCAGCATTGATTGGCTTTGTTAGTTGGGCTTCTGTTTATGTAATAAAGTATGAGGCGTATATGTGTCTGTGTGTACATTGTCATGGGGGATAGGAGTGGCGGTGTGCATGGAAAGTAAGTGTTTCAAGATCATTCCCATTTTAGATGGGTAGAGGAGGAAAACCTTTTTGTGGACTATTTTTATGTGTCACTATGTAAAGACAGGAAGATAAATCACTTCTTTCAAATTTACATTTTAGTTAGTGGATTTTTGAACTCAGTTTTTAGCCTTCTTTCCAAAAGGGATTTCTATTAACACACAACTGGTTTATCAATAATAAGCCAGAGGGAAATCAGTTTCATGAATGATGCTAAAATGAATTCATGAAACAGGAAAACATTGTGTGATTTATTTAGTATAATTTAAACAAGCAGGACCTTGTTTTAAAATTGGTAATAGGTGACCTTAAAACATATGAGGGATCACATCAAAACCATAGGCAGTAATAGTCCAAGCTACTGCTCCATGCACTGCTCCAGAATGTCCAGATTTCATGTTTGCAAGCTGAAGAGGAAAATCATTTTCCTTAATATTTGGTTACTGTGATTTAAGCTAGTATCTTTCCCTTCAAAGCAACATATCTTGGAGAAATAAACATTCCAATTATAAATAAACATGTAATAAAAGTAAATATTCAGGTTTTCCCCTCAAATGAAAAACTGACAAAACAATCTTCATCATTTCTTTAAAATGTTTTCTAGTGCTTAAAATATAATACAAGAATATTAAAGATAGGAACACAATGTATTAATATGGTTCTTAATTGATAGGATAATGAAAATTAATTACGTAGATCCAAGCTTATTCTTTATCAAACAGTTAATTTTTTTATTAGAAAAATGTCTCAGAGAAAAAAAGGGTCTGGTTAGTTGATAAGTTGTAATGTATAAAATTAGCTACACACAGAAATTGGGAATGTAATTTCAACACAGATTAAGTAAACATAAGCAGATTGTATGATGGAATTCTTATTTGCCCTGCTTTATGCAGTGAGTTCTCACTTAACAGCACTGACATGTTCTGTGACTTTAACATGGCTCCCATGCATCAGGACCTGATGTATTTGTGTCTAGCAGCCTTTCTGAAAACAAGGAATTTTTTTCCTAAAGAAATCTGTAGAGAATGAATGCATACCATGTCAGCTTGTGGGTTTGGGTGCACATGAAGCTTTCACTCTATCATACTTTAATTAAACAGCTTTTAGCAAGTGTTTGCTCTTCAGTATTCTTCATGTTAATTGCTGGTGTGTGTGGGTATGTGTGCACGGGTGGGGAGTGTTCTTGGTCTTCAAGGTATTTATACTGTAGAGGACACAAAACTAGGCCTTTACATTTGAATGGCTTATATACTGTGCAGGCTAAGTGTGGGATATGTTCAGTTTTTATTCTGTTCTTCTTTTAATGAAATGGAATATATACTTTGAAGGTTATTGAAAGCATCATCTTATGCTACTAAATTTACATTTTTCTAAAAAAGAAAAAGGTACTTTAATTTTGTTAAGTTGGGTGAGTCATGCTTGTTCTCATTCCCTCCCAATAGGTTTTGTTTTATATAATATAGAAGACTAATGAAAACAGTTTTCCACAGTGAAGATTTTCCACATTGGGATGGCTGACTTATTAGCTTATGTTTGTTTAGAGTGTAGTGGTCAAGTCAGCAGGGTTAGGGAACCAAACCCCTCCATTGCAGCTGTCACAGATGCTCATTTTATTTGGTATGCTGATAAGCACACCCAATGAGAATGTAAATCCATGGTTACAAGTGAAAAAAAAAAAAAACTACTAAAAGTTTCATCAGTGCAGATGAAAGATAGTATCTTTTATTTTATATAGCTTTTGTGTGTACACTTTAATGCTGTTTTGGAGTGATGATACTGTAACTTAAGTTTAGCAATATTATGGAAATATTCTAGAAAATTAACTTTTAAATGTATTTTCTAGAATTTAATGATTAATTAAACAAGAAAGTGTTCATATTTATTTATTTTATGATTTTTGTGGTTGTAAGATCAGAAGAGCTAAACAATCGAGATACATATATTCATTCAGAATTTTATTATACTGACAAATCAAAGAGGAAGGTATTTTGAGAGTTGTGTTATAACTTCATAGTAATGGAGATGCTTCTGGAAGCACTTGACCTGGTGAGATGGCTGCATGATTTCTAAATGATTCCTAATATTCCTTTCTGTTTAGTTGGTAATTCCATTAACCACTCAAGATGACTTGGAGAAAGCTGTGGAACTGCTGGATCGTAGTATTCATATGAAGAGCCTCAAGATATTACTTGTAATAAACGGAAGTACACAGGTATGAATTGGGATTTTTTTCAGTAAGGATTGTAGGATTTATGCCTGGAAATGTCAATATATAAAACATGGTTACATTCTTTAATCATTGGTATCTTTTCAATATGGTTAAATGAAAACTTACTAATTGTAACTATAGTTTAATACCCTGCTCTTTGAAACTATATAGCCAAAATTACAAGTATACTATATTGTACATAAGAAACTAGCAGGAACTGAGAAGTTGGGAAAAACTATGTTAAAATTTCAAAGAGTAGTAGCTTTGATAAGACTCACAAACAATTTAGAATATCTAGATAGTTTTTAATAGGGGAGAGGATTCTGTTTAAAGCCTTAAAGGGAAAGAATAGCATTAATCATCCTTTTTCCTCTATAGGTTACTAATTTAGAACCATTGCCATCATTAGATGGTTTGGATAACACAGTACTTGGAGGAGAGAGGAAAAAACGGCTTCCTATAATAGGTGAGAAAGCTAGTGCCTGAATCATGAAATGGGTGATTTCTCAGTGTCTTCTCTATCCTTTTATGTATCTTAAACATAACCCCCCAAAATAGCAACCCGTTTCCATACTTTCTGTAATTTCTCTTAGTTAACTATCTTCTAATATCTGACATTCCTTGAAAAATTATGTCAAGTATTACAGAATTAGCAATCTCTAACTTAAATATTTTCTTTCTTTATGTACCCCCAGGGTATTTTAATGTTGAACAAATTCAAATTACTCAAAGAAATTTTAACTGTACAAATAAACTGAAGGGAAAAAATTAAAAGAAGTATTTTAATATATTAAAATTAATGGATGGATTATGCTCATAAACCATTCTCTAAGTTTTTAGTTAATGCCAGGAATGTTATTAAAATAATGAGTCCTAAGAGTTTTCAGATTACGCTTTATTACTTTATTAGTATCTAGTTTTTATTTCTTATTAATAATATACTGTTATAATTAAGCTTGTGGTATAAAGAGAAGTGGGTGTGGATGCTATGTGCCGTTGTGTTTTAAAGGAGGCCTATTAAAGGGGCATAGGCTGGGCAGAAGTGCTCTGAACTCCCCAATCTTCAATTTGAATAAAGCATTGATAATCTATTTTTATATTATAAGAGCATTATATTGTTTAAAAACCACTAGTCTAAATGTTTTTAACAGATTGGGCAGTAAATATGGTCATTAAAGATAGCATGAAAACATATTTGAGTGATGGGTTTGAAGGGGAGAACTAGAAGAGGAGGCGAGACAGAAGAATAGGTAGGAAGCAGGAGAGTATGACAAAATAAGAGATGTGATTGATAGCAGAAGGGGATTGTTAATAATGAAAGAGAAGGTTAAATTAACACATGAATCACCAAGAAAAATTGGTTATTTATCTTCTGTTTGAAAAAGCTACTCCTTCTCAGTGTCAGTCTTACATAAGTTCTACTTTTGTTTTCAGAAATGCTGAAATTGTCAGCAGTGGTGATAATATACAAGTAAAATAAAAATTTCTCATCTTCATTTGGATATATTTATATAATTTAAAGTTTTGGTGAAAGAACAGTAGGGATACCTGAATTCTGACTCCAGCTCTCTAATTAACCTAAGATCAGTTTCCCACATGTATAAATCATGAAATAATTGTAGCAATAAATTGAGAGAACACTTTTTAAATACATTTTGCTTTTTAAACCAGGAAGCATGACTACTTTTTGACTATTATTAATTATATGTTTCTTTCTTTATTCCCTTTCCTTATAGCACCCATTATTTTAAAGTAAAGAATTACCAATTTGTTTTAGTTGCATTGGACAAGCTAAGTGCATTAGTTAAATTGGCATTTTAAATTCATTTTTAGTTAAAATTGTATTGAATGTCTCACTCTTGTTTGACTTCACTGCCAGCCTAAGAAGAAACTGGAAATTGTAAAGTATAAAATTACTGGTCTTTCATTGGCACCTCTTTAAACTTGGAATGGCTTTGATAGATACGACCATTATCTTTTTTCTTTACTTATGAACTATTATTACCTTTAATTATTTTCATAAAAGGTAGCTAGAGAAAAAACTTACTTTGGGATCGGAATCTATACTCTTGTGGAGGTCTTGACCAAGAGTGTGTTGGCATACCCATTACTAACAAAAGTTAAGAAAAATTACTAAGTAAAGAGATGAAGAAACTTTCATAGTCCTGTTTTTCCCCTGTCTCCTTTTAGTAATAGGTATATGGTTTTATTTTACAATCAAGCATATATGAAAAGAATAACAATATTAGGGACAATGTGATCATAGTTATTAAAAAGGCCAAATCAAGCCCTAGCTTATAGTTGAGTTCATAATCATTTTAGAGTCAAGTGTAGAAAATTATCTCATTTATGCACATCTCTAGGTAATCATTTTATTTTTTTCCCCCTACCTCATCACTAACAAATACTGGCTCATACTTAAAATGACCCCCTTACATAAGGCAAAAACTTTTTAAAGAAATAAATCTTTTAATGCTGATAAAACTTCCCCATATGTTTTTTATAGTTTAATTTCAAAAAATTAGGAGCAAAGGAGAGAAACTTATTTTGGGACAACCAGGTAATAATAAAGTGGATTATTGTCTAATAAGAACTTAAATGATTAATTAGATGAATTATATTAGTTTCTTTGATTTTCTATGGCTTGCCACACACAAAAAAGAAAATTAAAAAAAATGCCTAATTTTAGGTGCCCAAGAATAAAATTAAGTTGCAAACACTCTAATATGGGCTAACTGGTTAAGAATCCATCTCATTTTACACTTCTAAAGATTAAAGAGAGGGAATGGAAAGAAAATCTTGGAGGCAAATGTGCATAGCACATGTGCATTATAAATAATTTTACAGTCACAATATTTTTGCAATGGAGGTATTCAGTCCCATGTTTACAGGTGAGGAAACAGGTTTCTGAAGGTTGGATAACTTTCCCAAAGACGTACAGCTGATAAATAACTAGAACTGGCATGTAAACATAGGTCTGACTCTAAAGCCTGTATTCTTTCTACTACATCATGACTCCTTTCATAAATTACACTGAGGGGAAATACCTGGGTACAAATGACCTCTGGAAATTCAGAAGCAGTGGCATTTATCTAAAGATCTTTATTGTATTATTGTCAGCGCCACAATGCAGTTGTCAGCAGTCAGAAGAACATACCACCTAATAAATTGAAATTAATATTACAGTGAGGCTAATTGTTATAGTAGGGTGGGAGTTTAGAACAGTATAAAAATATTTGAAGTTTTACAGACATGAATGTTTTGATAAGTTTTAATAAAAACTGGGTGTCAGTTGCGAAAATTGTTGGTACTGTAGTTCGGAAATTCTGTGTGTATATTTAATTAAAACAAAAATTGATTCCATGCTTATATTTATAAAACCATATAATATTCTTCTTTGAGGTCCCACTAGTAGAGATCAAAGCTCCCCTCCCCCAGGATACATTCCAGATGAATTACATCAGGTTGCCCGCAATGGGTCATTCACCAGTATCAACAGCGAAGGAGAGTTTATTCCTGAGAGCATGGACCAAGTAAGCATAAGTTGGATATGGTTTTTCATTTTATTTAAAGGGATGTTGTCAAGGTCGGTGTGGTTTGGGGGGCGGAGTGGGGGTGGGGGTGTGTGTGTGTGTGTGTGTGTGTGTGTGTGTGTGTATACACACCTCTTCTCTAACCGCTTACCTTCCTTAAGTGAACAAAATAGTAAAAAATGTAAGAAAATGCCCACTAATTTACACGTGCCTGTATCCACTCATGCATAAAGAAAGCTGGAATAAGACCGATTATCTTACATTGCCCACCCTTGAATGAATGAATGCATGTATTTGTAATCCTGGGGTTAATATTTAGATTTTTAAATTAATGTTTGAAAGATATAGTAAAACTACAAATATTTAACTTTGTGAACGTAAGGTTTGTCAACTTTCTAAAATATTTAAAAAATTAAGTTCTCACTTCAGCAATACATAGACTAAAATTGGAACCATGAGAAAAGATTAGCATGGCCCCTGCACAAGGATGACATGCGGATTCATAAAGCATTTCATATTTTTGTGGAGTCTAATGAACAAACAAAATAGAAAAAATGTTATTAAACGTTTAGTAATATTGAAGTATTTCCATGGAGTGCCTGTTGTTTTCTTAACATTACATTGGCTGCTTACTATTGCAGTTTTCATTTTCTAATAATGTAGCAGTCATGATGTCATTAGTCTCATTTGAGTGGGGCCTTTGTTCAGTTTACAGTAAGCAAAATTATTTGAAATTTTTTAGCTTTTAATTGTTTAGCTAACAGTCCATAGAGAAGCAATATTTTTCTCTTAGGAAATTTTGAAGTTATAGCCTACCTGTAAGGGACAGCTGCATTTTAAACATTTAAAAATGAGAAACTCTGTGGGGGAGGGTGACTGCTGTTGGGTATGGGGTTTCTTTTTAGGGTACTGAAAATGTTCTAAGATCGTTGTGAACATTGTATAATTCTCAGTATACTAAAAACCATTAAATAATACATTTTAAATGGGTGAATTTTATGTTATATGATTTGTATCATAATAAAGCTGTTTCTCAAAAAAACAGTAACATCTGGGTATATAACATCAAATGGTGAAACTGTGTTTTCGTAGATGCTGGACCCATTATTTTTAAGCAGCCCTGAAAATTCTGGCTCAGGAAGTTGTCCATCACTTGATAGTCCTTTGGATGGGTAATGTTGATTTTAGTTTTTGCTTCTTATCATATGTGGGTAAAATACATGTATATACACAGTGTGTTGAATTATCAACACTTTTGTGCTACATTTAGACGAATGTAATAATACTTGTCTATACTTACGGCAAATGAATTTTTTATCGTTTGGAAAAATCCCTTTACCTCATGGTGCTCAGTATCATTGTTAGTTAAAATGATATCTGATTATAATATTTTTTTAAATTTATTTTTTCAAATACATTTGTCTCTGCCTACCCCCCACCACTTTCCCTTGCCCCCTCCCTCCTTTCCTCCCTCAGCTCTTCCCCTTTGGTTTTGTCCACGAGTCCTTGCTATATGTTCCTTGACTTGCCCCTTCCCTTCCTTTTCCCCGCCCCCCATCCCTCCTTCCCTCTTGTCTCTGTTGATTTCTTTTCCTTTCAGTGTTGCTGGTCTTATTTTCCCTGCATCTTTGTATTGTTGGTTGGGTTCCACTTCTAGGTGAGATCATATGGTACCATGAGCACGGTATATGCTTCCATTTATTTGTGTCTTCCTTAATTTCTTTCTTCAATGTTGTATAGTTTTCTGCATATAGGTCTTTTACGTCTTTGGTTAAATTTATTCCTAGGTACTTTATTTTTCTCCATGCTGTATTGAATGGTATTTTTTTTTCTGATTTCTTCTTCTTCTATTTCATTGCTGGTGTACAAAAATGCCTTTGATTTCTGAGTATTGACTTTGTATCCTGCTGTTTTGCCAAATTCACTTATTAGGTTGAGGAGTTTCTTGGTAGAGTCTACAGGGTTCTCTGTGTACACTATCATGTCATCTGCAAACAATGATACCTTTACTTCCTCCTTTCCTATTTGGATGCCTTTTCTCTCTTTCTCTTGTCTGACCACTGTGGCTAGGACTTCCAATACGATGTTGAAAAGAAGCGGTGAGAGCGGGCATCCTTGGCGTGTTCCCGATCTAAGTGGGAAAGCTTTCAGTTTTTGCCCGTTGAGTTTGATATTGGCTGTAGGTTTTTCATATATGGCCTTTATTATGTTGAGGAATGCCCCATTTATTCCCATTTTCCTGAGTGTTTTGATCATAAATGGGTGCTGTACCTTATCGAATGCTTTCTCTGCGTCTAGCGAGATGATCATGTGTTTTTTGTCTTGTCTTTTATTTATGTGATGTATCATGTTTACTGATTTGCGTATATTGAACCATCCCTGCATGCCTGGGATGAATCCCACTTGATCGTGGTGGATAATCTTTTGATAGTATTGCTGGATGCAGTTTGCCAATATTTTGTTGAGGATTTTAGCATCTGTGTTCATCAGCAAAATTGGCCTGTAGTTTTCTTTCTCTGTAGGGTCTTTATCTGGTTTTGGGATCAGGGTGATGCTGGCCTCATAGAAAGAATCTGGGAGTCTTCCCTCCTCTTGGATGTTTTGGAATAGTCTGAGAAGGACAGGGGTTAGCTCTTCCTGAAATGTTTTGTAAAATTCTCCTGTGAAACTGTCCGGCCCTGGGCTTTTGTGTGCCGGGAGTTTCTTGATGACTGCTTCAATTTCCCCAGCTGTTATCGGTCTGTTCAAGCTTTCTGTTTCTTCTTCCTTCAGTGTTGGGAGATTATACTTTTCTAAAAATTTGTCCATTTCATCGAGGTTTTCAAATTTCTTGGCATATAATTGTTCATAGTAGTTTCTGACGATCCTTTGGATTTCAGTGGTATCAGTTGTTATTTCTCCTCTTTCGTTTCTGATATTATTTCTTTGGGTCCTCTCCCTTTTTTTCTTTCTGAGTCTGCCTAAAGGCTTGTCAATTTTATTTATCTTTTCAAAGAACCAGCTTCTGGATTGGTTGATCCTCTGAATTGTTCTTTGCGTCTCTGTGTCATTCAGTTCTGCTCTAATCTTGACTATTTCCTTTCTTCTACTTGCTCTTGGATTTATTTGTTGTTGTTTCTCCAGTTCTTGAAGTTGTAGTGTGAGGTCTTTTATTTGAAATGTTTCTATCTTTTTTAGGTAAGCCTGTATTGCTTCGAACTTCCCTCTCAGGGCGGCCTTTGCTGTGTCCCATCGGTTTTGGACTGTTGTCTGTTCATTTTCATGTGTTTCCAGAAATTTTTTGATATCTTCTCTTATCTCATTATTGACACATTCGTTGTTTAATAGTCTACTGTTGTGTCTCCATGAGTTTGTAAGTTTTTGAAGTTTCTCTTTGAGGTTGATTTCCAGTTTCAAGCCCTTGTGGTCCGAGAAAAAGTTTGGTATTATTTCAGTTTTCCTGAATTTGCTGAGGTTTGCTTTGTGTCCTATCATGTGGTCTATCTTTGAAAAACTGCCATGAGCATTTGAAAAGAATGTGTATTGTTCTTCTTTGGGATGTAAGGTTCTATATATGTCAGTTAAGTCTCTTTGATTCAGTGTGTCATTCAGCGCCACAATATGTTTATTAATGTTTTCTTTGGAAGATCTGTCCATTTTTGACAGTGGGGTGTTGAAATCCCCTACGATCGGTGTGTTGCTGTCTATATCTTTGTTGAAGTCATCCAACAATTTCCTTATAAACTTGGGGGCTCCTCTATTGGGAGCATATAAGTTTACAATGTTGATGTCTTCTTGATAGATTCTTCCTTTAAGTATTATAAAGTGTTCCTCTGGGTCTCTCTTTATGGCCTTTGTTTTGAAATCTACTTTGTCTGATACAAGTATGGCAATCCCGGCCTTTTTCTCGCCCATTTGCTTGGAATATTTTTTTCCATCTGTTTAGTTTCAATCTGTGTAGGTCTCTTGCTCTGAGGTGGGTCTCTTGTAGGCAGCATATGTGTGGGTCATGTTTTCTTATTCATTCAGCTACCCTGTGTCTTTTGATTGGGACATTTAGTCCATTCACATTGAGAGATATTACTGATAGAAACGTACTCATCTTTTCTCTTTGTACCTGTGTTTCTCTCTCATTCTTTTCCTTCATCTGCTTCAACCATTCCCCTTAGCATATCTTGGAGTGCTGGTTTGGTAGAGACGTATTCTTTTAGCCCTCTCTTGTCTGGGAAACTCCGTATTTCCCCTTCTATTTTAATTGAGAGCCTAGCTGGGTAGAGCAGCTTTGGCTGTAGGCCCTTGCTTTTCATGACTTGGAATATTTGTTGTCATTCCCTTCTGGCTTGTAGTGTTTTTGTTGAGAAGTCAGCTCCTAGGTGTATGGGGGCCCCCTTGTCTGTTACTTTCTCCTTCTCCCTTGCTTCCTTCAGGATTCTCTCTTTGTCTTTGATAGTTGCCATTTTAATGAAGATGTGTCTTGGAGTGGACCTCCTTGAGTCCCTCTTGAATGGGGTCCTCTGTGCCTCCTGGATCCTTGAGAGCTTTTCTCTCCTCAAATTAGGGAAATTTTCCATCATTACTTCTTCGAGGAGGTTCTCTATCCCTTGCTCCTCTTCTTCTCCTTCTGGTATCCCTATTATACAGATATTATTGCGTTTCAGGTTGTCCTGCATTTCCCTAAATGCCTCTTCATTCCTTTTGAGTCTTTTTTCCATTTCTTGTTCTTTTTGGGAGCTTTTTTCTACCTTATCCTCCATCTCACTGATTCGATCCTCAGCTTTATCCAGCCTGCTTTGGATTCCTTCTACTGTGTTCTTCAATTCAGAAATGGTATTCTTCATGTCCCCTTGTGTCTTCTTGATAGTTTCTATGTCCTTTTCCAGGCTGATATAGTTTGCTGTAAGATCCTGATAGTTTCTCTGCAGTTTCTCATAGTTCTCTTTGAGCTGGCTGAGCTCATTGAGCTTCCTTAGAAGCATTGTTTTGAATTCCATATCTGATAGTTCCCTTGCCTCTATTTCATTTAGCTCTCTCTGTGGGGAGTCCCCTTTTCCACTCATTTGGGGGGAACTTCTTTTTCTTCCCATTTTTGTGAGAGTCTGTTAGGTAATTCACTTATTTTTTTATTTATTTTTGCTTCTGCTTCAATTGGACTGTCTAGATTTCCTAACTTTGTGGATTAAACTTCTATGGTAGTAGGTGGGTATTTATTTATTTATTTATTTATTTATTTATTTATTTATTTATTTTCCCCTTTGCTTTTCTTTCTGGGCCTGCCTCTGATGATGTCAGTTTTTGACCCTGTATATGACCTTGGGTTGTTGTTTGAGCTTTCCAGGAGTCTACTGTCTGTGTCTTAACTTCTGTTTGGGGCAGCTCTGTGACCCCTTCGGTCAGGGCTGGAGTATTTTTTGGGATCGCTCTGCACTCCTACGCGGGCTCCTTGAGTGCGCTCCCGGCGCGGCAGGATTCCCTGCCCGCCTGGGCGCGCGCGCGCTTGCCCCAGACCAGGGGGCTTATTCGCGACCTAGCGTACTGGTCAGGCCCCCTGGCCCACGAGCTCCCCGGCACTGGTCAGTTTAGGATCTTCTATTGTGTGTTTTCCCCGCTTTTGGCTCTTTGGGTGCATTGTTTGCCCTCGCCAAATGGGGACTACGGAAATGGGAGGAAGTCAGCTCCAGGACTCTCCGGATAATCCTGTCTCCGGTCTCTCCTCCAGGGAATCTGGGCAGCTCTGTGACCCCTTAGGCCGGGATCTACTAATTTTGTGAGCTGCTCCGCAATCGCGGGCCGGTTGGGTCAATTTATGCCTGCCCTTGCCGCTCTGTGTACTCCCTCGCAGGCCTTATTGGTGCCAATCTGTGGGAGGCCTTGCCGGCCGGTGCAAGCGTTCGGCAGCCCGCGGGGGTCACACACATGCTCGCCAACCCTTGCCGGTTACTCGGCGCAAGTGTGTGCGCCTGTACTGGGTGGTTTTGGGGTGTCTATGTGTGCTTTTCGGCTTTTGGCTCTTTGGGGGTGTGGCCTCTTCCAGCATAATGGATACTATGGCAAGGAGAAGGAGTCGGGACTCCGCGGTTCCTCCTCCCGTTCTTTCCCCAACGCCTCCCTTTCTAGTCTCTCCTCAGGGGTCTCCGGGCAGTTCTGTGACCCCTTCGGCCAAGGATCCACCACCTGTGCGGACTGCATTTCAATCGCGGGCAGTCTGGTTCATGCGCGCCCCGCTTCTGCCTCTTTGGGGTTGTGCCTTTCCAGCCCACAATGGAGACTACAGAACAGGGAGGGAGTCGGGACTCCCTGGTTCCTCCTCCCATTCTTTCCCCAACGCCTCCGTCTCCAGTCTCTCCTCAAGGCTCTCCCAGCCAGTCTGCACTCAGCCCCACAGCTCACACGCATACAAGCTGTGTGCGGAGCGCACAAAAGGCAGGTTAATTGATTCCCTTATGCCTGAGGGAGATGGTAGCTGCAGAGTGGGAGGTGCGTTATCACCGGGGCTCCACCGGCCGCCGTGTCAGTTCTCTTCACAAAGTTTTCCTCACCAGTCTTTTCCCAGGCACCAGCCCACCCTGCTGCCGCCTCTACCCCGAGATCAAGGAGGGTGGCTGCCACTGCAATTTTTGCATTGGCCCTTTAAATGTCTCTTTGCATCCCCAGCCACCTGTCTCTGGCAGAGAGCGCCTCTAAGCTTTTGGGGGTTGCGCTTTGTGTGTATTTTCTTGGTTTTAGCTGCTGTAGTTTGGCAGTTCCTGTTTATGATTCGGACCCCGTTCTTCTCGGGGGAAGCTAACTGGCCGTTTCAATGTCCCTCTGGTGCTAGGGCCCGTGGGCACCCAGCCCACCCTCTCGAGCTTCCACCGCACTTCTCACCCATTGGGATGTGTGAGAGTCGAATCCACTGTCCGCGGCTCCAAGGCTCCTCTCCCACTATCGTTCCATTGTTTTCCAGGTGATTACTCCACTATTTAGTCGCAATTCCAGTTTGGTCTTGGGAGGAGGTCAGCGTGACTCCCATTCACTCCTCCGCCATATTCTCAGTAAAATCTATCAGGTCTGATTATAATATTTTGAGCATTCCTGCTTGCCAAACTTGTGTTTTGGAGCTAAATGCAAACTTAGGATTTATGCTAGTTTACTTTTAAAACTGTGTTGGCGAAACTACTATCAAATTTTTTATTAATATGTTTTGGAGATTTTGTGAGCTGTTTCACTTGTTTAGGATTATGTTCATTCTGGCATCGAATTATAAATAACATTCTTAGTAGTTGTGGCCCAGTATGTTGGTTGTGATTTAAAATTTAAGTATTTTTGTTTTGTAAAATAGCTGTTCAGGAACATAAGGTGGGTCAAATAGCAACTGAATTTGTTGTGACAGTGCACCCTCACTCCTTTGCAGTTAGGATGCTATTCATCTGTAGTATACAGAGTCACCCTGTAGCACACAGGCTCAGTGTCTTTATTAGATCTTGCCCTGGCTGGTATTGCTCAGCTGGTTGAGCATTGTCCTGCAAAGTTAAAGGTCGCTGGTTCTATTCCCAGTTAGGGCACATGCCTAGGTTGTGGGTTCAGTTCCCAGTTGGTGTGCGTACAAAAGACAATGATGTATGTTTCTCACATTGATGTTTCTCTCCTCTTTCTCCCTCCCCTTCTCTCAAAAAACAAAACAAAACAAAACAAAACAAAACAAAACAAAAGAATGGAAGAGTCTTTACCTATTTCTCTGGCTGGGTCACTTGGTTGGTTGGAGTGTTATCCCTTACACCGAAAGGTTGCAGTGTGTATTTGATTTCCAGTCAGGGCACATAGCTAGGTTGCTGGTTCAATCTCTGGCTGGGCCCGGTACAGGAGACAACGGGTTGATTTTTTTTCTCTCTCTCTCTCAAATCAATAACCGTATCCTTGGATGAGGATTAAAAAAAAATCTTTACCTTTTTAATTTCCTCTGGGATTAGTTTGTGAAAGCAAACTGTAAAAATATGGCAACTAATATTTTATGGCAATATACATTTAATTTTTTGTTACCTGTGTTCATGAAGCCTTTGTCTTTGCACTCGTCTACTTCAAGATAGCCATTTAAAACATTAAGAAATTCAGAGAAATAGTAATATGAAATAAATATATTTCATGAGTTAGAAATTATCTCCTTTTTATAGTGTGGAATCAGTCTGGAAAAGTGATTTGCCACGTTGTAACAGCTAGTTAAGTGGCAGAGCTAGGATGAAAACACGAATTTCCAAACTCTTTGTAAAGCCGAAGAGGAACATTCTTACCACTGTACTTTGTGGGTTCATGTAAGATAGGTTTTTTGCTTACATGTACCAATTAAGAGTTTAAGAACAAGTTTCTCTTTTTTCAGTTATGTTAATATTTCAGAGTGAGCTTCTCCCTTTCTGTCCCCGCGCCTATATATATAAATATCTGTATGTATATCTGTATGGAGACATGCATATAGTCTCCACACATGCATACAGATATTGATATGGTATAAATTTTTTTTAATGTCTTATTTACATTCTTTCAATTTAATGTGACATTTTCTACTTTTAGAGAAAGTTATCCAAAATCACGAATGCCAAGGGCACAGAGCTACCCAGATAATCATCAGGAAATTTCAGGTTAGATTATCAACATTCGGAATGTTTAATGTTTATGTCATTAAATAATGTTTTTACTGGGAGAGAGAGGGGACTTTGTCTTTAAATGAAATAAAAATGTGTAAATGTGTTTTTCATCTTCAGAAATATTTGACTTTTTTAGTAACATATAAGTTTCTTATGTGTCTTAATAGACTTTGATAACCCTATCTTTGAGAAATTTGGAAAAGGAGGAACATATCCAAGGCGGTATCATATTTCATATCACCATCAAGACTATAATGATGGTAAGATGCTGGCAATCAGACTACAAGAAGAGTGTGTGAAAATTTTCAAAAATAATGAAAATAAAAATTTCATATGTAAACCATTAGAAACAAACTTGCTTCTCCGTCATTTAGTTTTCTGCCTAATTTTTTAAAGATATTATAAGTAAAACTATAATAACATCTTAGCATTATGTCAACTTACCTCATAATATTTCTTTCCCTTGGAAGAAAAGAAGTAATTAAAAATGATATCATTTAGAAAGTTACTCCTTCATGAAATTCATACTTACATGGCCCTTCTAAGGAAAAAATATTGCTACCTATAAACTTCTAAACTTTGGTTTATATTTTAAGTCCTGATTAGAAATGAGCATAAAATATATTTTTTCTACTTTTTATCCCAAATTGAGGGAGTTCTATTCTATGATTTTATGAATGTGTGCATATATCTGTATTAGCATAAGAAATTATTTGAATTTGTATTCAGATCCTGTTCGTTTTTTTCCCCTACTTTTCATTTCTGCTTTCACCTGTTTTCTCCCTTGTATTTTCATTATTGATTTATGATTTACTGCCAACAAAGGTATTTTCTTGAACTCAAAAAAAAAATCTTAGGTTTAAAGCATGTAATCAAATAATGATCGTTGTTTCAGTTTTTTTGGCCTTGTTACAGGACAGATTTCTGTTCCTTACATCACAAATTTTAAAAGCATTTAATTACAACATATTAATAAAAGTGTTAAGGTAATTATTATTTTGTTTTGTAGGTCGAAAAACTTTTCCAAGAGCTAGAAGGACGCAGGGGACCAGCTTCCGGTCTCCCGTGAGTTTCAGTCCAACTGATCACTCCTTAAGCACTAGTAGTGGAAGCAGTATCTTTACCACAGAATATGATGATAGTCGAATAAGAAGGAGGGGAAGTGACATAGATAATCCAACTTTGACTGTAATGGACATCAGCCCACCTAGCCGCTGTAAGTAATAGAGATTAGCATAGTGAAATGTTTAACAGAACGTTTGCAGAATTTTACAGTATTAAAAGGAATAAATACCAAGCCAGTCCTAAAAATGAGACCAGCTGCTTAAAATAGAGAGAATTGGTATTTCTAAGGTGATTGGAATGTCAGGTAGAAGCCTGATACTGCTTATAAATTACACTAGATGATTCTGACCTTCACTTTTAATTAGGAAAATTTTTACCAATTAGTCACCCACTCATTCATTTCACGTCCTTGTTGAGTTTCTGTACTGGGATTTCAAATACACACTCTAAGATACAGTCTAATGGGGAGAATGATGTCTGGAACAATAATTATAGTATAGCATTTAATCTACATCTTAAATGTGAGTAGGAATTCACCAGCTAAGGAGGTGACATGTGCAGGGGACCGTGGCATATTCTGAAAGTGGGGAATAGTTTTTTTTTTTTTTTTTTTTGTCTAAAGTGGTGGATATCTTACTTGAAAGAGTGGGAGTAGGACTAGAAAGGTAACTAAGGCCAGATTGTCAAATATTTGGACTTTATAATGTAAACAGTGCATTCAAAGATACGTGCTCACAGGTTGTGGTAGTATTTGCCTATTCTGAATACCTCCCTTTTGTACTAATGTTGTCATATTTTACATCTATGACTTCATGCTACATTGCTGCTATTTTCGCTTTAGATGGCTATCCTTTAGTGATTAAAAATAAGAGAAAAATATCTTTTATATATATCTTCAGTTTATTTCCATAGATCTTTATGTAGATTCAAGATCCCATTAGGTGTCCAGTTTTTTCTGCCTGAATAATTACTTTATTGTGATATAAGTCTGCTGGTAGTAAATTCTTTTAGCTTTGGTTTGTTTTAAAAGGGCTTTATTTCTCCTTTATTTTTGAAAGATTTTCTGGGTGGAGAATTCTGGGCAGTTTTTTTTTTCTTTCAGCACTTTAAAGCTATTTTTCCATTAGTTTTTGGCTTCTTTTTTTTTTTCCCCCTCACCCAGGGACATTTTTAGAAAATTGCTTTTTAGAGGGACTGAGGGAGAGAGATTGAGAGAGAGGAGGCTAAGGAGGGGCGAGGGGGAGAGAAAGAGAAACACTGATTGGTTGCCTTCTCATGTGCTCCCCTACCAGGGATTGAACCCACAATCTGGGTATGGGCCCTGGCTGGGAATTGAACGTACGACCTTTTGGTCTATGGGACAACTTTACAGCCAGCTGAGCCATGCCAGCCAGTGCTGGTTTTTGGTTTTTATAATTTCTGAGAAGTGTTCTTTGATTTTTATCTTTGTTCCTCTGCCTGTAGTTTGCTTTTTTCTCTGTGGCTGCTTTCAAGATTTTCTCATTAAAATGACTGGTGGTCTTTCTAGCTTTCTATATCAGAGGCAGATGAAAAACTAATTATAAATATTGCTGCAGTAAACATTAGAAACAGTCTGTCTTACAATCAGTGGCATTTTAGATTGAGTGAAATGATACTGTTATATTTGTAACCAAGAAAGAAAATAATTACATTGGAAGAAATGAGTTATGGAATTATGAACCTAGTTTGGGTTTAGAATTCTTAGAAAATTAACTGAAGAGAAAAATTTTCAAAGATGATGATCATGATAAACTTGGATGATCATGATTTTCTCCTACACCCAAGCATATACTAATGCAATACACTCGTTTAGTCGTTAACTATTTTTGTGGTATCTAGCTATTTCAATTTAAGAAAATGTCCTTTTTTAGCACCTCGTGCTCCAACCAACTGGAGATTGGGCAAACTGCTTGGCCAGGGAGCCTTTGGCAGGGTCTACCTCTGTTACGATGTTGATACAGGAAGAGAGTTGGCTGTTAAGCAAGTTCAATTTGACCCTGATAGACCTGAGACCAGCAAGGTAAGAATCACTGTACAGACTGCACAATTACTTGACACAGGAAAAAAAAGCAGTTTTAATAAAATAAATATAACAGTAGAATTTTAATTTTTCCTTAATACAAATTATTTGCAAAACAAATAGATAATTAGATATATTTATCTACTTTGTATTGTGGATTTTTCTCTTTTAATGCTCAGTTATATCCCTGATCTGATTTAATGTTGCTTTAGCACACCTTCAAGGACTGTTGTAAAAGTAATTGTTAATGCTTTAAAATGTTTATTCCTTAGGAAGTAAAAATTCCAGAATCAAATCACCTTGATGGGCAATGAAATTTGAATTTTTACTTTTATTAACAATGCTGTAAAGATTAATGAGTTCTGTCTTTCAGGAAGTAAATGCACTTGAGTGTGAAATTCAGTTGTTGAAAAATTTGCTGCATGAGCGAATTGTTCAGTATTATGGCTGTTTGAGGGATCCCCAGGAAAAAACACTTTCCATATTTATGGAATATATGCCAGGGGTAAGTTAGTATATCCTTTGGAAATATATATGTTCTATTTAAAGGTTCAGTTGAGGAAAGAGAAACAATAAAACTTTGATTATAAAATGTTATACCTAATTAATGACATTTTGGAAGAGTTTTAAATTAGTAATATAATTTTATTTTCTATCTTCATCTATCTTTGTATTTTTCTAACTAATTTTTTTAAAATGCTGACATATACTAAAATAGGTTACATACATAGCAGTCCATACTCAGATTCCTCTATGAGTCTTAAAAGTATACATAATTGCTGGTTTATCCAAACCAGGATCCAGTTCAGGATCACATATTCATTTAGCTGGTATATCCTTTACTCCTCTTTTAATCTAGAGCAATTTTTTAAAAGATTTTATATATTTATTTGTAGAGAGAGGAAGGGAGGGAAAAAGAGAGGGAGAGAAACAATAATGTGTGGTTGCCTCTCATGTGGCCCCTACTGAACCTGGTCTGCAATCCAGGTATGTGGCATAGACTGGGAATTGAACCAGAGACCCTTTAGTTTGCAGACCGGCACTCAATCCACTGAGCCACACCAGCCAGGGCAATCTAGAACAATTTTTATATGACATAGATTTGACAGATAGACTTGGCTATTTTTCTGTTGACAGTCTCACCTCATGGCATTATGTAACTTGTTTCTTTATAACTTTTTTTTCTGTAAACTCCAAGTTACATCCATGGATGGAACTGGAGAGCATCATGCTAAGCGAAATAAGCCAGGGGGCGAAAGACAAATACCTTATGATCTCACCTATAAGCGGAACCTAACCAACAATGCAAAGAAGCAAGGAAAATATGACCAGCAACACTGAAAGGAAAAGAAATCAACAGAGACAAGAGGGAAGGGGGGGGGGGGCAGGGAAAGGGAAGGGAAGGGGAAAGTCAAGGAACATATAGCAAGGACTCATGGACAAAACCAAAGGGGAAGAGCTGAGGGAGGGAAGGTGGGAGGGGGCAAGGGAAAGGGGGGGGGGAAGGCAGAGACAAATGTATTTAAAAAGTAAATAAATTAATTAAAAAAAAAAAACAAAAAACTTTGGAAGAACACTTGAGAACTCATGCATTTGGAAGCATTCCTGTATGGAAGGCATAGAGTTCTCATGGATAAGGAGGCAGAACTTTTCTTGTTGATAAGAGTTCAACAAATAAAATCCACATGTTATTTATAAAAAAAATAAAAATAAAAAAATAAAATAAAATCTAAATTAGATTCAAATTCAACATTTTTTATTAGAATGTATCATAGATGATGTTGTGTACTTTATGTTGCATCTTATTAGTAGATATATAACCTTTGGTTCCATTGTTAGTGATGCTAAGGTTGACTGCTGGGTTAGAGTGCTTGTCATCCTGATTCCTCCATTGTAAAGTTTGTTCGTTTCCTGAAGACCTGGAGGTAATAAGTTGTATAGCAGTGGCACAGAGGAGTATCCAATTTGTTTTCAGCCCCTGCCTAATGTTTTTTAACACAGATTGATAATCATTGCCTCAGGTAGTAATTTACTTAGGAGCTACAAAATGTGATTTTCAAACTGTCATTCTATATTATGTTATAATATGTAGAGTGCATTCTAAACTTATGATTTTCAAAGTGGTGGTATATTTACTCATTTAAAAATACATGCATTCTCATAATTTAATAGGCTGTGTATGACAGAAAAAAGGTTTGACTTATCAGTCTTATTAGGATTATATGTAGAATGTACAAGGTTGCCGTTTAAGCTTATGGATCATAAAGCTGGATCAAGTCTGATAGTAATGGTTAAGACCGTTGCTTACAAGAGCAACAGCAAACTTTACTTTGTTTCTTACATTGGTGAATTATTGTTTACAGTGATACCATTGTTACTCATTATTGCTACTTTTTATTTTCAAATATTCTGTTGTCAATGTAAATTAGTTTTTTTAAATCCCTTTCGAAAACAAATTGGCAGGATGTATTAAAGGCCATAAAAATATTGAAGCCCATTGATCTAGCAATCTCACGGAAATTTATTCTACAGAAGTAATCCTAAAGAAGGAAAAAGCTGCATACATTTACTTTATTTTAGTATTATCTGTGATGATAAAAAAGCAAATTCATTGCCCATGGTGCAAGTAAATTATGATGGCATTGCCCAAGAGAATATATGTTAAAAATTAAAATTGTGAAGGTTATGTTGCAAAATTGGAGGAAGTACTTACAGAAGAGGAAAAAAGAGTGCAAAATGCTTTTTGATAATGATTATGATATTTAAAAAGTATATTTGAATAAGGGCAGGAGAAACTTAGAAAAATGGAAATGTGTTATATTGGGATTATATTATTGTTTTTTTCTTTTATTCAGATTTTCATTACTCTTTGTGCAATAAATATTTAAGTTAAAGTAGAAAACAGTTATGAATAAGTTATGAATAGAGACCCAGATTGCTGAAGATAAGATTAATTGAAATGCTTAATTGGTTAGAACCCATTTATATCACAAATGGATATGGGTAAACTTTATATAGTTAGCAGTCTTAGAACTAAACCAGGAGTATTCAGGAAGAGGTATTAGGTCATGTTTGTCATTAGCTACACTTGATTTTGTAAGAGCTGCTGTCTCTTCAAAGTATAGATTATCATTCCTTGAGTTTGAAAAGCACATTACCAGATTAGTGATAGTTCATTAACAATCTGACTTGAATCTCTAAGTTTGTGAATGATGCTATATAATTTCTCTCATTAAATTTAGTGTGCTGGACCCCTTTATGTCCCAGATTCAAGATTCTCCAAAATCGTAATTCTTTTCTTCAGTTTTCCCAAACATACCATTCCGATTCCTTAGTTTATTTAGAACTACTTTCAGATTAGAACCATAACGTTCTTTTATTTTTAGTACCTGCACTAGTGGTTGATTTATCACTGCTACTTTTACACACAACACGATTTTTATTTGGCACAGTTCTTCCCAACCCATTCCAGTTGTTCACACTGTAGAAAATAACACTTTATGGTACGCAACAGCCCAGCTGCCTAACAGTTTAGAGGATCCATAAGGTTTCACGCATTCCCAGCCTACAAGATTTGGGGACTTATTGTTTGGAAAGCTCAGTTCTAGCCTGGTTATTGTATGTATTACTACAAGTAGAGGCACAATAAGCAGACGGAAGAAACAAGCTATGTGGAATAATAGGTGTGAACCTACCTAAAAGGTAGACTTTCCACACATGTCTGCAAGTCTAGGCCAGCGGAATGTCATCTTTCTCTTCCTTCAGAGATTGCTCATGAATAGTGGAAACAGAGATGGTTAAATCTGTAAAATTTGAGTATTTATTTTTATATGACAAAGTACATAGTTTACTAAAATTCAAGGAAAGGCAGAAACATTTAAATATATTTACTGTTTAAATGAAAAGATTTGTCCTTCAGGAAGCATTTCATTTCCATTTTGTAAGGTGGTTGGTTATTCATCAAATTTGTACATTGGAATCAGTAGGGAAGCTTTTGTAAAATTCAGATGTGTATGTCTCACTTCATACTGATTCAGCATTCTCAGAGGTGGCACCTTATCCTGCCTGAAAAACACTTACAAAAATTTGAAATTCCTCTTTAACATATTTTCTCATGTTTTGAACTAGAATGTTGAGTATATAAAGAAATAAGTGAAATACCTCATGTATTCTGATTTTCTAATTATACCCATTCTTTCTCCTGAGAAATAAATTAGCAGATATCAATAAAACATTTTTATAAACAGGAATAAAAAAAAAGTGAAGTAGTACATGTGTAGAAGGGCAAGTAGGAAAAACAAAAATATATCCGAGGCAAAATGCAATATAAAAAGTACTGGAGTATTTTTAAAAACATGGTTACAAGACACAAGAGATAATTAGAGCCAACATAGTCATAGGAACAAGCATATCCATCAAGAAACAGTTTTAAAGACTTCCTTTACCTGTGACCCATACTCTTCCACAGTTCTAGTCAGGGACTATACAAAGTTGTATGTAAATGAGATGGCATATATGTACTTACTGAGAATGCCTGTGCTCTCCAACTAAAGGCTCCCACTGATGAACTAGGATTCTTTCAAAAATTAAGATCTAATATAGTGGTTTTTATTTCAAACCACACCATAGTTTTCTTTCTTTTCTTATAGGGCTCAATTAAGGACCAATTAAAATCATATGGAGCTCTTACTGAGAATGTGACTAGGAAATACACCCGTCAAATTCTGGAGGGTGTCCATTATTTGCACAGTAATATGATTGTTCATAGAGACATCAAAGGTAAGTAATGAGGCTTTTTTTAAGTATGCAGGGGTTTTTCTGTGTGTGTGAATGCAAATGAAATGAGAAATATGGTTAAGAAATTTAACATTTAAATTAATACATTTACTTTTAAAATACCATAGGAAAACAATTCTGCTTTCTCATGGACTCCGTCAGTATTCCAACTAGTCTTGATGTTTGGGTTCTCCACAGTGGGAGTAGCTCCACTGTGGAGGTTTGCAGAATCAATAAAGTTCAAATGATTGTAAAAATGAGACCATGTTTTATATAGAGAACATAATAAGCATTAGAATACAGTGATTAAGAGAAGGGACTCTGAACATTAGATGACGTGGCTCAAATTCAGGCTTTATCCATCATTAACCATGTGACCTTGCACAAAGGCACCTAATCCCTCTATGCCTGAGTTCCTCATATTTAATGAGGGTGATAATAATGTCCAACTCAGAAGATTCTGGAAAGCATTAAGTGAGTTAATGTGTATAATATGCTTAAAATAGACTAGTACTTAGAAAACATTCAGATAGCTATGATGATGACGTACTTATGTTGAGATCATATTTAATTAAAGCCATTGGAATGGGTGTTATATTGTCTAGGGAGAAAATAAGAAGAGGGAGGAAGAGAGCCTAAGATTGAGCTTTGATGAACTTCAACTCAGTTAAGCTCATTTTTAAAAACTCAGCTGTTTTCAAGGATCAGGTATGTAAGGTAAATGCATGAAGTGAGACAAAAGTAAGTGGAGATGTGTAAAATTTGAGAGGGCTTAAAATTCTGTACTGCAAAGTGTACCTGGAGGTTTGATTCTTTAAAAACTGAAGTTTGGTTCTATAAAATTTAGGTATGAACCCAAATTCAAAGATGACTCTGGTTAATCAACTGATTAGAATAATAAATACATACATATATAAATAATAAATTAAAAATACATTTTTCATTGGTCTTTCTGAGGGTTCTAATGAGCTACCAGGTATTTATTGCCTCCCTGTGGTGATCCATATCCTGAATATGGCCATATTCATACTAAAGAGAACATGCCTAACCAGTTTCTAGTGATATAGTACAATCTGCTGGAGAATGCTGAGCGAGATCATGTGTATTAGAATGGCGCTTACTAGTGAGTCTGAGAGATTGTGGGCATGGCTCATGATCTAAAAGAAATAGGAGCAGATGTCAAGTACAAAAGCTGATAGCTTAAAGAACCACGTAGGGAAACTATGTGAATGTGAATTATTCTCTTAGGAGTGATCTCTATTCAAGCCACTTTCTCTTTAGCACTCATAATGAGACAAGGTAAAGGAACCAAGGGGAGTGACCCCCCTCAAGTGAACGTTATCAGAAAGAATGACAAACCATACTGTTAAAACAAGGAGGTTGGAAAGCAAACTTATCTCAAAATCATTATAGGGTAAATATATTGATAGGAGAAAAGTAAGGTATAAAATGAGATGTGCAATATGATTTCAAGTTTGTAGAATTAAAGTGTGATCTAGAAGAAAAATTTTCATATGATTAACAGTGGTTATTTCCAAATGGCCGAATGAGTGATAATCATTTTATTCAGCATATTTTTTACTTTTTATGCATTTCCAAAATTTTTATAATGAGCTCTTCTTAAAATGTAATGGAAAAAGAAAGATAGCCAATGACTTTTAAGTTTAAATGTATGAATTCATAATGAAATTTAGGAAAAAACGAATTGATCATTGTTACTAGGGAACCAACTCATTATTTCATAACAAGTTTCCTTTATTCTGCCTTAGTTTTTCTAATTATAACATTGAGGACTAAATAGTTGATGAAAGGAAACTTACTTTATAGAAGCATTTTGACTAACAAATGAAGAAGGAATGATGGAATAGTACCATTTTGCAACCACTAATGGATTAATAGGTATAAGCATTAAACATTAACAGCTGCTTACATCACTAAAACAGACAGTTGAGCATGACATACTTCCCTATCCCTAGATAGATCATCATATCTATGAAATAGTTTTACCAAAAAAAAAAAAAAAAAAATCTGAGTTTGATCAAGCCTCTAGATTCAGCAACCAAATTTTAGAGTTATAGAACAGATATATCAGACATACAAACATAGTAAATATGATCGCTTGGAATAGAGTCAGCAAAATCTAGACAATAGGAAAGCTATAGGCAAACAACTTAGGCTCTTCATGAATTGCAAAGGAAAAAAGATTAAAGGGAACTTTAGACTAGGAAAGACTTAAAAGATATATCATTATTGAGTCTCAATGTATGGAACTTATTTGGATTCTGATTTTTAAAAAACTGTAAAAAACACTGAATATATATAACATTATTAAGGCGTTATTGTTTGTCCTGTTAGGTGTAATAAAGTCCTTATCTTTTAAAGCTATGTATTGAATTATTGAGATAATGTCTTGAATTTACTTCAAGTAATGAGGGAACTATGGAGTGGCTGGCAGTATGGGTAGGGAAGATTTCCAGATGGTTGTTGGGGCTGAGTGATGGGTATGTAAACTATTCTACTTGCTTTTGTAGATGTTTGAAAATCTCTGTAATAGCTTACTTTCCTTTTTTTTTTTTTTTTAAATCTTCACCTATGGGCATGCTTATTGATTTTAGAGAGAAGGAAAGGGAGGGAAAAAGAGAGGGAGAGAAACAATGATGTGAGAAAGAGACAGTGATCAGTTGCCACTCATGCATGCCCTGACCAGGGACTGAACACACAACCTAGGCATGTTGCCTGACAGGGAATCAAACCTGCGACCTTTCAGTTTATGGGATGATGCTCCAATCTGCTGAGCCACACTGGCCAGGGCAGTAGCCTACTCGTAAGGTATCCAAAATAACTTTTGAAAAATTATGAGACTATACTGGGAATGTGATTACACATTTTTCTCCTCAGCCCTTAGTGTGGGTGGGCATTGGGTTCAGCATTGGTGATTACTCCCCAGCAATAGTTCTTCCTTTCTCTGACCTGCCTAGGACTGTTTCTTCCCAGCTCGTAGCAAGTAAAATATGGCTTGTTTGTTGTCCTTCCCCTGGTTAAATATTTTAGAGATAGTATCTTTCTTTGACAGAGTCTTAACTTTAAGTGTTGTACAGTGAGATGTTAAATAGGGTAGACAGTGCTATTTTCTAGGGTCACTGGTATGTGTCTCACTTAGGCTTATGGCATGCAGAGACTGGAACCCTGTGCCCTCCCCTGCAGGAAGACTGTGGAGAGCTATCATCCACTAAGCTGGGGAATTTGCTGGGAGAATGGAAAGAAAAGTACAGAGGCTTACGGTGGGAATGGACAGTATACATTCTCTCCACTATTATCTCTCCTTCTTAGAGGCCGTTAAAAAAAAAAAGAATAAGAAGAAAGTAAGGTTTTTTAAAAAAATGTAAAGAATAGGTAGGAGACCTAAAAACAAATCAATTTTAAAGTGATAATTAGATAAAATGAATTTCTTCTTTAAAAACAGGTAGTCTATAGAAAAAACTAAAAAATGAGAATAGAAATAATTTCTGTAAGACAGAAACTAGACTTACGATCCCAGAAAGAAAGATTGAGTTTTAAAAATGATAAATAAAGGGGAAAACAGAGAATAAAAAATAAGTGAACTTAGCACCTGGATCTTGGTTTCTGATACCATTAAAGAAACCAGGGCTGCCCAGGCTGGTGTGGCTCACTGGATTAAAGTAACCAGGGCTCCTTGGAGAGACGGCTGATTGTAGGACTGGTTCAGGAAATATACAAGTTTAATCTGAAGCATCTATAGTGCCCCAACATAGGAGAATGCTAAAAACCACCCCAAACGATAAACAGACAAGAATACAATGCTCAGAGTATGACAAAGGGACATAGAAGCCAATCAAGAGTTCCCAATGGCAAAGAAAAAAAAAAGTTACAGTGTTTTATAACCCAAAGTATACAATAAATATCCATGTGTTCATACTGATATAAATGAATAATCAAATAAATAAATGGAAGAGAGGAGACAAATCTGTGCAGAATAATTCTAAATAATTTATGTATCTGTGCTGCCTGGAGCATAACTCCTGACTCCTTAACCGTGGGCTGTGCATAGTGAACTTCTCCTAAAGAGTATAATATGGAAAGTGGGGAAAGAGGAACTTTATGGTAGAGAAGTCAACAAACTACCTCAAGCCAGGCAAGCAAAGTCAGTTTGTAATAAACAAATAAAGTTTAGTAAAAGTAAATGAAATTTTAAAACAAACAAGCTCAAAGCTTACTCAGAAGAGATTTAAAATATATAGAATTGAGAAGTAAAATTAATATAAAGCAAAACCCAATATTTAGGAAAATTGTAAAATGTAAGATAACTAACATTAAGTTATAGTAGAGGGGGAAAAGTGATAGAAGTCTTGATTATGAGATTCCCTCGGGAAGTTCCTTCTCAGGGAAATAAGCTTCAGCTATCAGCCTCTTGTTTTATGATAGAGAAACTGTGCCCAAGAGCCTGCTGTTGCTTTCCATCCTTCTCTGGGCCTTTCCCCCTCTCCCTTCTTTTTCATCCGCTACTCCCTGCACATCAGACCTTTTCAGTGGGAGAACCTGAGTCAGGTTTAGAACTCATACCTGACTCTAAAAATTCAGTGTTTGTCCTTAATGAGCACTGTTTGTGTGACTGGTGTTAGGAAAAGTACTGTTCAGAAGATGAAAAGCAGCCTAGTTTTGGAAACAGATTGAAGAATCTATTAAGTTTAATTCTCTGTCATTGTTCTTTTAGATTACATTCCAGACTGCCAATAAAAATAATGAAATGAGGATGTTTCTTATTTTTAGGCGCAAATATTCTGCGAGATTCAACTGGCAACGTCAAACTAGGAGATTTTGGAGCCAGCAAACGGCTTCAAAGCATCTGTCTTTCGGGTACAGGAATGAAGTCAGTCACAGGCACGCCATACTGGATGAGCCCTGAAGTCATTAGTGGGGAAGGGTATGGCAGAAAAGCTGATATCTGGTAGGTTTGCGTGAAAATACCTGCCTTATGTATTTTCTACCCAGGATGGAAACTACTGAGCCAGATTTCAATTACCTTTTGTACTTTTGAAATAGGATGTTGCAATTACAAGGATTAATATTTTAATTATGCTTCTTTGAAACTTAATCTTTGACTAAATAAATAGAGGTCTTGAACCTGTCCTCCATTCTTTAGGAGGACTTTTGTCTTAAGCAACTTCAACATCACAGAACTATCTTTCATTTCCCTGAAGAACTTTAAAACTAATTGATCTTTATTGTTAGTTTCTTATAATTCAATTAATCTTGGATTGCTTAATAATTTTGAGCTATAACTTAAAAAGGCCATTTTCTACTGCCCATCAGAAAAGTTTTCAATACAACAGATACTCATTTTAGGCACCTAAAGATGAACAAAGAGTTTTAATGTTTGTATTTATAAGATAAAGACAAAAGCATTATATTTAATACCAGGTTAGGTAATTATTTAAAGCAAAAATTATAAAATGAGTAATGATTTTTATTTAGCTATTAGGGTCAGTCCTTAAATTGCGGTTTATTTTCATTCATTTTTATGTTTAAATTATGTTATATATAATTACAACCTTTTAATGAAACTAAACCTGAAACCAAGCCATACCTAAATGTATATGGACTTCACTCCTGTTTATAATTATGTAGTTAACTGGCTTTCTTTCATCATGATATTGTTTGTGTAATATAACTTTAAAATTTCTTTTTAGGAGTGTGGGCTGTACTGTGGTAGAAATGCTAACTGAAAAGCCTCCTTGGGCGGAATATGAAGCAATGGCTGCCATATTTAAAATCGCCACTCAGCCAACAAACCCAAAGCTGCCACCTCATGTCTCAGACTATACTCGAGATTTCCTCAAACGGATCTTTATAGAGGCCAAACTGAGACCTTCAGCTGAGGAACTCTTAGGGCACATGTTTGTGCATTATCACTAGCAGCCAGTAACCTCTCCTGTGCCTCTGCCTATCTCCCATCTATCCATTGACCTCTCTGACTGCACTTTTCTTTTTTATAAAAAAGAGAGATGGGGGAGAAAAAAAGACAAGAGGGAATGTGCTTCTCTTGACTCTTGGTTAAATTTGTTTAATAACAGTAACCTAAATTTTTTATATTTAATCTTTTTTCCCCTTACAAGAACTTGAAACTTTTTTTAATTTAATTTTTATAATGTACTGATGTGGTTCAGAGACATAATGCACTTTAGTACATGATCACTCTTTGTAGTACAAACAAATTATTTGAAATACCTAAAGACTGTAGTCTTTCTCTGTGTCACTGACAAATTGACGGTGATGGAGAGACATGGAAAACAGAAAAAAATGATGTGTGATTTGTAGTTTTTAATGATAGTGTTTAAAATAGAGTCTCATTTGTGAGTTTGAGCCCTATACTCTATTTTAGAGTAGGTACTCAACTTAAAGAACATAGGTTCCTTCTTATGTCTGTATTCTTTAGCTCCTAACCTCTGTCTACTAAGCTTTTTGTTCAGTAGGAATCTTGATAGAAAATAATGACTCTCTAAGAGGTATGTTTGTTAATCCTAGCCAGTATAATAAGCAAATACCCTATAAAATGTCCACGTTACTGGAATCTATAAACGTTGAGGGTTAGCTTTCTGTTTAAAAACAGAAAAGATAGTATTTTATTTTAAATCAAATATGGGAAGTCAATGAACAAATCCAAATTAAAAGACAAAAGAGGTTGCTCTAATTCAATGTGTGAGCAGAAGAGACCACATTTGCCCATCAGCGGATATAATGGAAAGCAGAACTAAATGTTGTTTAGTGTATTTTAAATTGTGTTCTTTACCTGAGGGAGAAAGTCCCAAAATTAAGGGAAAGGAGAAATAACCAAAATAATGTATATTATATCTTCCTGTTTCTAGCTCCTGATTCCCCATAGATAACATTTCTTAGAAACTCCATGTTTAACCTGGAGTATCCATAAAGCTAGTGTCATGAGATAAAACCCTTGTTCTTGGGATTACAGAATACTAAAGCACCTCAAAAAACAAACAAACAGTAAAACAGTGGTTCGCAAGGGCGGGGTGGGTATAATTTCTCTTGGCCTTTGGCAATGCCTGGAGACAGTTTTGGTTGTCACAACTTAGGAGGATGCTAGTGGCATCTAGTGAGCAGAGAAGCCAGGGATGCTGCTAAACAAACTACAGCACCTCCTGCCACCCAAAGAAGAGTTGTCCTGCTCAAAATGTCAACAGTGCGAAAGCTGAGAAACCATGTTATAAAGACCAACCTCAGTTATAAACTGGTAACAGCCATTTACAAGCAAGTTCCTTGCAAAAAGTAAATTTCAAAGAGAAAGTGATGTAATGCATAATGAGGGTTTTACAGCAGAAGATATCACTACTTCAAGTCAAGGGTGAATGATCTGAACAGCAAGTAGCAGTCCATTCCTTACCAGCTGCATATTGCATCCAAATCAGTAATTTCCATTTTTAGAGACAAAATGAATTTAAACACAAGAGCTTATTGAACTTAGCTGTCTGTATATATTCTTTCCTCAACTCTGTTTATAATTGTGGGGAAGAAAAGCATATCAAAACAAAATTAACTACTTTATAAGAAAGTTAAAAACTACCAGCTATTTCTAGTATAATGTATCCACTAAGAGCAAGGACATTAAATGGAAGGAGACAATTAGGAGAATTCCACTATCTCTAATGAACTTGTGCTACTGAAAAATATAAATGATATTAATAATGCAGTGACTTGCAGTTTTTTCAGTATATTAGACAAGTGCTAAGTACTTTATTTTTAAAGATCTAAAAATAGTAGTCTTCCTGGAGGCCCATTTAGTGATGCCTTTTATGGGATTTATAGGAGACTCAGGTATTTTATTTTGTGCTAAAAAGTATGATCTTCAGGGATTCTTTTACTGTTCCTGAAGTTAGGTAGACTTTGGTTTACTGTTATCAAGGTCCTTTCTGATGTTCCCTGTAGGAAATTTGAAATTTCACAGCTAATCTAAGACGTCAAAGCACAAAGATTCTCCCATATCTTATAATGAAAGGAAGTGGTTCACCAAGAAAAATATACATTAGTGGCCCCTTCCTGAAAAATCAGCTGTTAAATCTTTGTGTTGTAAACATAGTCCCCAAGGATCTGTTATACTTCTTTATCTTTTCTGAGTGAAGGCATCTCTCCTACTTGAGCAAGATCATAGTATCTTGACCAGGGGGCTTTTTCTTTGTTTTTTTTTTTTTGTTTTGTGTGGTTGTGATTTCCTTCCGGCTCTGATTTTTGGTCTGTCAGGGTAACCAGCAGTGCAAAATATGAGACAAATGCTCTTTAGAGAGTAATCTTGGGAGACTGTGAAACTCAAAGCAAATTGTTTGCTTTTTTCAGTCTCTCCTGTCTTTCTAAATGCTATAGAAAGTAAACCTGAAAAGAAACTACTACTTTAACACTGCTGCAGATGATCTTTGTTTTATAAGAAAAATATTATTAGCTATGGGAAAATATTGTTCTTTATGTAGGCTTAAAATAGACGACTAGTTTACAGAGTATTATATAAAATGTGATGTGGGTTTATTTTAAACAAGTTGTAAAGGTACCAAAACCACAAGAAAAATTTTTATATATATATATATATATATATATATATATATATATATATATGTGTGTGTGTGTGTGTATGCAGATATATATATATATGTATGTGTATGTATATATATATATATATATATATATATATATATATATATATGCTACTACAACAAAAAAGCTTGATGTGGGTGATGTATGGAAGACCAAAAGTAAATTTAAAAAAAATTGAAACAAAACACCTCTAGGGGCAGTTAGATATAGCACTCCAAATTATTATTTCTAGTAATGGTATGGATCAACAAATGAAATTTGAACTTTTTAAGATAACTCTAAATGTATTTTGTTTTTAAATGCACAACTGATTCTTCTATACTGTAATGTTTCTTTGCTGAGGCTGGAAAATGGTCAGACTGCTGACTTTGTGCCTTTAAAATGCATTCTGCTTTGATTGTGGCAGAGTTTTTGGTGCTGGAGAAGATTCACTAGCAGTCTTGTCTGTGCTTTTCAAGAAGTATCTTCACTTAGGCTTTGAGAGATTCAAAATGGCATGGCTTAGGTTTGGGCCAAATACAAGATCTTTTACACTGCAGACAAAATGTATTGAATAAAAGGGTTGAAAATATGAGTAGTGGAAATTTTGATGGTTGATAATTCTTTAAAATGTAATTTAAAAGTATATAGACTTTTACATTTTTGGTATGAATATCTTGAAAATTTTTGTTTTTCTCATTTACATAACATGTTTTTAACTTGAAAAAATGGTCAAAGGCTGATGCAGAGGCTAAACTAAAAAAAAAACAAAACTTATTTTAGAGTAAATGAATTGGCTTTCACTTGAGAATCTACCTGATTATCACTAGAAATTACATTTAAAAAGTAAAATTATTTGTTTAGAGTAGCTTTCTGCTATTTTATCTCTTATATATGTCAGGTCTGGTCTGTAGCATTTCTGAGATGGAGTTATGATATGTGAAGTCATTAAGAAAATAAAGTCTGAATAGTTTATAGGGATCACCAAGCTTGGGTTTAAAAGCCAAGATGTTTGCCACATGCAGACTCCTTGGCCCATGGCAGAGTTCTGAGCCAATGATTCCACTGGGGTCTAGGGACCAATAGCTTGGATATAAAATTCACCTGGTGTCAATCAAGAACAGTAATCTATCAATTTTTTTTAAAAATAGGGTGAATCTTTTTCATTTGCTTATTCAATAGTGTGGCTTATTGTTTCAGGTACTAAATTAATTTATTTTTAAGGAGATCACAGTCTAGGAAGAAACATGGACAAACAATAGGGCATACCCTAACTCTGAAAGTTCAATGACGTTTTAAAATCTTACTGTTTTTTGTGATGTAAGAAGAAAGCAATTTTGGGTAATTATTAGCAGTTATAAATTAAAATGTCATATTAACGACATAGATTAAAAGTATCCCCGAATTAGAGGTACCTCATTGGTCAGTCAGCCTCTCTCATCTTCAGGACTCCCTCTTACGAAACCCAGCCTCTTCTCTAAGAGTTTCAGTGATGGAGGGCATTTATTATGTACCATAGTGTTTTTTCCTGCTTTTTTTTTCCTTTTTAAAGAAAAATCAAATACTTTTGATCTAAATAGTTAAAATACCTAAAACATATGATAGAAATTGAATTCTGTCAGTGATGTTATTTATACTAAGAACAGGACAATTTCTTGAGACCTCACTGTTTCCTATTTGACCTTTGTTACAAATGTAATTGTTCATATTTATTTGAATTTTAAGATTGGTTAAATGTTAATGAAAAGCAATTTAATTGTTAACTTTTGGTAGTGCCCTTTTCTCTGTATGCCTTAATTTTATTTTATAACAGTAATTTACATTACCCACCAAACTGAAGGGTTTTTCTAAAATCAGTAATTTCAAGAGTTGATTTGGCTTTAGACTGTGTTATTGGCAGTTAAATATTTCTTAATGCCCGCTTCTTCCTCCTACCCTTTTCTACCTCTTTTTTTTTTTTTTTTTTTACCATTAGAAGACAAACATTAGCATTAGTCTGTGATAGACATACTGCAGTCTCCACTAGATGTAAACTTCTAAGGTAAGGATAGAGATATTCTAATTCTAAAGAAGTATATACTAAATTGTTTTCTAGGCTGATTATTTGATTTTTCAATCACACTGACACTGTCTAGATTCTTTGTATATCATGGTTCAGTTATGATTTTCATAGCAGAGGTAGAATGGTTGTTTTTGCCCTAAAGAGGTTGTTTAAATGGTTTACAAATGTTAAGGCTCTGAGACTTGGGGCAATGAGCAAGAAATCCAGGGATAGCAAATTCTAATTGAACATTTTGATGAAAACTCTAGCCTGCTTTCCTGTGATATGTGTGTGTGTGTGCGTGTGTGTGTGTGTGTGTGTGTGTGGAGTTGGGACAGGGATGAGAAGAGAGGAAATGTATGAATGTTAAGTTGGATTAGTTTCTGTTCTTGGAGTAACAACTCAAATGTGTATGACCTACTGATGAAGGATGAGAGTAACCATCCTCAGGTAGGAATGTTAGCACATTTTCCACAAGTAACTAGTACAAATGATTGTTTAATAAAGATATTTATCGTAAATTGCCAAGCTCTTGGTTGTTAAATCATTAAGATTAAATTTGTATGTGTGTATAATAGCTAATATATAATCCTTAAATAGAAAGTAATTGATTTTCCATAGTTCTTCATGAACTCTTTGGTATAGAAATTCTGCTAGACATTATCAAAACAAGCTTCCTTAGCCTATGAAATGTTCAAAAGGAAATTTTCTTATACCACTCTTTGGTTGGCCAGGGAAGGCATGCTATGAAGCCACTGTTCCTACTTCACAGTTGTCTTTAGCTTTACTTTGACATCTGCCTGCATTCTGAAGAGGATGCCATAGTAGGTATTGGAAGTGTGAAAGCCAACCATGTTTTCGTACTTGCCTTTCAGAGTTGTAAATGGTAATGAGTTGTCAGGGAAGTCTAGAGAATCTTTTCTCAGTGATAGTGAGAGTGGACATGGTTTAGTTTCAGAAAGTTATGGGAGGAGTCGTAGTTACAGTAAAGACAAGAATAAATTTTACCTATTGCCTGTGTACAGTCTTTTGTGTAGTTCTTCATGTTTTTCATAATTCTGCATTTTAATTGACAGTAATATGATATCTTTGTTAATAATAGCAAAGGCATTAAGTCCGTGAATACCATTATTCCCTATGCCCAATTACTTTTTTGTTTGCATCCACAATCTGTATTATCAGAATCACTTTAAACCAAAGCTTTTTTATTCCCTGCATACATTGCCAACATGATTTAACACTGTTACTTCTGCCCACGTTTAAGCTAACAGGATAAAAATGATAAAGCAGGTACTAGTAGAATTTGTATCTCAGTCTGTCCTTCAAGTAAAAGGAGAGGTGCTCAGTGTTTGCATTTAGACATGCAGAATTTACTTCAACTATTATGAAACTATATAGACATTAAAAACTTGAGCTTGTATATGTGCCAATCTTATTAACATCAGATGACCATAGATGTATTGACATATGATGCCTCAGATTGGTGGTGTACTTTCTTCCTAGCATCTTAACATTTATGAATTTATGTTTGACTTGAGGGGCATTTCAGGAAAGCTGTGAAGAAAAGTTAAATTACAGACTGCTGTCTGCTTTGTGCCATAGACATTTTGGAACATAAATTAGTCTGCATTCCAGTATACATGCAGAATTTGTCCCCAGATAAGGGTACCTGAGTCCCATGATGACAGTTGAGAACAGTAAAGTTTGTGACTATACTGAAAAAGCACTTTTATGTTCATTTATTTATTTATTTTTTCAGAATTTATCTTTTAAAAGCATATATAACTCCTGGTGATCTTAGCATTAGCATTACTTAGAGGGGAGAGATAAGTAACAAAATTACATCTTAAACTCTAGTGGATACTTAGACTCTAAAATGGATTTGAAATATTGTCACTTTTCCTAAGAGTTTTTTTCCCACCTGGAATAAGAAGACAGGACTAGCGGAAACATTTGAGCTGAAAAGGCTTATGGGCAAAAGAAAGTGGGCCAAACCCTTGCAATATACCTTATTCAAGTGAAAGTACAGTGTCTAAGAATAAGAATACTTCTTTAAACAAATAATTGTTTTAAATACAATCTTAATTAGTAAAAGGTTTACATTTTTCTATTGCTGTTGGTTTTAAAATTTGCTACCCTGCATTCAGAAATATTATAAAAGAGTTAATACCAAAAATACTTATAATGTCTGGCATCTCTTCAATTTCACATGGTTGTTTTTATTCAAATATCATTGTAAATAAGAGTAAAGTTGGATACATTTGAGAATAAATTTTTAATTGTTGCCAACTATAATTAACAATTTATAAATTTACCCTTTGGCCTAACATACAGTTTTTAATGTAGCCATTAAATTCTTTATATTTAACCTGTTAGTTTCACTTTATAAACATTTTTAATCTTAGTTGAATGTTGGGCAGTTTATAATTATGTACAAAGGTTTTTTTTTCCCCCCATCAAGGTTGATTTTTTTGCACATTTTTGGAAATGTTTAATTTGTACACTGACTTTACTACTCTGGCCAATAATTGTTGATGGGTGTATGAGCATCATGAATGTGTGCATTGAACTACTGTCTGTGTCTCTATGTTTTAACTTCTTTGAAGAAGTAGCCATCAGTAACTGCACTGCTATTACAGACTTAAATGAACTTTATTGCTTTTACAAAGTATACTTATCTATGGTTCTATCTTTGTTGAAGGACTCAGGAGTTCAACATCACTTTCTGATCTTATATGTATTTTGAAATGCATTTAGTTGAAAGTTTGCTTGTAACTCCGTGTATCAGAGGATGTGTGTGTGGAAATGTCTTTTTCTGTCAGTAGGCACATGGATGTATTCCAGTAATTTCTTATTTTCATTTATTTCCACATTTTTATGAACTTGTTTTATATAAGGGTACTGTTTAGTTAGAATTAAATATATATAAAAGCTTTCTGAGAGATTATTTACTATGTGAATATATTTTCAGCTGGCCGATCAAACATATTTTTTAAATTGTTTTTAACCATTTAGAATATGTTTGCATTTCCAAAATTGGATGCAAATTTACTTAGATATAAGTTAAAATACTCTTGCAAGGAAGAGCATTGAATTTTCTTTTGAGAATTCTCTGAAATACAAACTAAGAGGAAAAATAGGCAGTAGCAAAAAATTAGTGTACACTAAAACAGCCTTTGAATTCTGAGAGCTATGGAAAAAATGTAAGAAACTAAGTTGTCTTGAAAAGATGCCAAGATTTTTATATCTCCAGTTTCTTTTGGCTGGTCCTACTTTTTTTTTTAATGTTTCCTTTATTCTATCCCAAAGAGTTCAACTTTTAGTTTTTTTTCTTACTGGGCAAGGTCAGACCTTTTTTATGAAACAGTGCTTTGATATATTGTGATTCTCTGAAATGGACTATAAATTGGTTTAGAAATGTTTAAACATGCATCAAGTGTCTTTATACTATACTGTGTATGCTAAGTAACTGGCAGAATAAGAATTGGAAATTAAATTTCCAATCTGACAATGTTATTGTAATTAAGGAAAACTCTGATTTTAATATACGGTACCACGTAAAATTACTTGTGTTAGGAATAAAGTTCACTGTTGAAGTTGAATGTCACTAAGCTTATTATGTTGCAAGGAGCCTGTATGATTAGTAAAACCTCCCAGAAGCCAGATACAGTGTGGTATGTGCCACATTTCATTTATATTTTGACTTTGTGTTGTTCATTGAAAGTTGTGCTTGTAAAAATGTATAAAATCTCTGAGTTTTATAGTTTTTATGTATTTGTTTTTCTTGCTGGTAAATAGCCATTTAAAACCTTAATGTGAAGAAATCATGTTTATATTTTGTTAGTGATCAATGACTTTGTTTATACGGAAATTTGTATATTGTTGGCACACATCTTTGTTTAGAATTATCATGCATGAAGGCCTGCAATAATTAGCACAATGAAAATTGCTTTTTTTTTTTAAACATGTTCCTTTTTTTTTTTTTTTTTTTAAAGATTGTGGTGCAGAGGGTTACTCTGAGTAACCTGGATTATGGAATATAAATGAATGGCACTTTGAGTGTTAATAAAGCTGATATTTATTTCCACTGTGATTGGTCTGTCCAGATCTTCTCTTGTACACATTGTGTTCCCAGTTTTCCTTCCTTTGCCCTAGCTGATCACTTTCTAGGAAACTAAGAACAGACTAATCTAGACACATTGCAACCATATCTTTCCAGGATATAAATCTATAATGTCCTACCCAATATGCTCTGACATATCTTTTCCAAGCACTTGGATTACCCAAATCAGAAATTAACAATGATTAAAAATAGAATGAAAAAAACACTGCTCTTTAACCTGATGTGTCTTGTCTGTAGCTTCATGGGCCACGCAACAATGCTAGATTATAAGGACTTATAACTGGGGCTCTTCAACTTTCAACTGAACTGTTCTTTTAAAAAATAGGTACACTTTTAAAAAATAGCATAAACAAAGGCTATTTCAAAGTGTAAGGAATGGATGTTCCCACAGTTTTGGAGATTATTTAAATTAACACTCTTGATACAGAGGGCAATTTAGCAATATAAGTCAAAACCCTCAAAATTGTGTATTCTGACCCAATAATTCTGTATCTAGAAATTCTGTGGAAATAATAGCAAATATGCTAAGATATAGTTATAAAAGCCCCAAATTGAGGTCCTCTATGCCCAACAGTTGGGGTTATTGTAACAAAGTACAACAAACTGGGTGGCTTATAACATCAGAAATTTGTCTCAACTCTACACACTAGATGTCCAAAATCAAGGTGTTGGCTTGGCTGTGCTTCCTCTGAAACCTGTAGGGAAATACTTCCTTGCTACCACCTAGCTTCTGGTAGCACCAGGTTTTCCTTGGCTCATGGTAACATATCTCCAGTCTCTGCCTTCTGTCTTCACAGGGTGTTCTCCCTGTTTGCATCTATCCCTCTGTGTATTTACTTTTTTAATAAGGCCACCACATTCATACTAGATTAAGGCCCACTCTGATGACCTAATTTTAACTTCTAAAAGCTCTCTTTCCAAATAATACTCCGAGATACTGGAGATTAGGGCATCGAAATATCTCTTGCATCCACCTGACACCACACATAGTTATTACAATATTATTGACTCTATTTCCTGTGCTGTACTTTATATCCTTGTGACTATTTTGTAACTACTAATTTGTAGTTCTTAATCTCTTCACTTTTTTCACTCAGCCTCCCCAAACCCCCTTCCATGTGGCAACCACCAGTTTGTTCTCTGTGTCTATAAGTCTGTTTGTTTTATTTGGTATTTTAGATTCCACATACATGTAAAATCATATGATATTTGTCTTTCTGACTTATTTCACTTAGCATAACACCCTCTAGGTCCACTCATGTTTTTGCAAATGGTAAGATGTCATTCTTTATGACTGAATAATATTTCATTGTATATATGTACCACATCTTCTTTATCCATTGGTCTTTTGATTGGAGCATTTAATACATTTACATTTGAAGTAGTGATAGGTATGTAGTTATTGTCCTTTTATTAAATTGTTTTGTGATTGTTTTTGTAGTTCTGTGTTCCTTATTCTCTTGCTCTGTTCTCTTGTATGTTGATTTTCTGTGGTGGTGTCTTTGGGATTCCTTTCTCTTTATTTCTTTTTTATCTATTGTATATTTTTGATTTGTAGTTACCGCGTGCTTTGTGTATACCAAGCTATGTTTATAGCAGTCCATTTTAAACTGATGGTTGTTTAAGTTTGAACACATTCTAAAATCACTACCATTTTTATTCCCTCCACATTTATGTTTTTGTCATTATTTTTTGTTTTTTTGTGTTTGTATTTCTTTTAACTTACTGTTGTAATTCCACATGATCTTTCTACTTTTGCCTTTTAACTTTTTACTAGCTTTAGTGTTGGTTGGTCCACTGCCTTTATTGTTTGCCTTTGCCAGTAAGAATTCTTTTCCTTGTGATATTTTCTTACTCATATTTTTGTTTTTCCCCCCTTATTTTTAAAGAAGTCCCTTTAACATCTCCTGTAATACTGGTTTAGTGGTGATGAACTTCAGATTTTTCATGTCTGGGGAGCTCTTTCCTTTGATTCTGAATGATAACCCTTCTGGATAGAGTTGTCTTGGTTGCAGGTCTTTGCTTTTTCATCACTTTGAATTGTAGACAAAAAAGGGTGGTTCCATGCAAAGTAACCTCACAGGATGATCTGATCATAAAATCCTAACTGGACAGGTCATGGTGGGTAGTCATGCCCCAGGCATATAACTTATTTTTAATCCTTACCGAAGGATATGTTTATTGACTTGACAGAGAGAAACATTGATGTGAGAGAGGAACATCAATCAGTTACCTCCTTGAATGGGTCTTGACCAGGGATCAAACCTGCAACCTAGGTATGTGCCCTGACTGGGAATCAAAACCACTACCCTTTTGTGTGTGAGAGGAGGCTCCTACCAACTGAGCCACCAGGCCCGGGCCCCAGGTAAAGATTTATCTTTGCCTTAACCAAGCCCTGTCCATTGTTTCTGTGCATCTAGGTTAACACACTTTTGAAATAACTGGTAATCACCCTAAAAAAAGCACATAATCTTGTTAACTATCCTGTAATCTAATTACCACCTTGCTTTCTCTCACCTTGTATCTTCCTTATGTTCCCTTCCCTCCTCAATTTCAAAAGTATAAAATAAGCTGCAAAACTGTTATTCTTTGCAGTACTTGAGATCCTGCCCCCTGACATTTGTCACTAGTTTGGCTTAAATAAACTCATAAAAAGTCTCTATAGGTTTGCACATTTCTTACACTTAAGAGTATTTCATGGCAATCCCTTCTGGCTTGCCAACTTGCCTTTGAGAAATCAGCTGACAATCTTATGGGAGCTCCCTTGTAAGTAACTTCTTTTCTCTTGCTTTTTTAAAAATTTCTCTCTTTGTCTTTAACCTTTGGCATTTTAATTATGATTTATCTTGGTGTGGGCCTCTTTGAGTTCATTAGCCAGCCATTTCTCAACTGGAGCACTTCAAAAAGAGGCACTTCAAAGATGTGTTAATCTAATACACAAGAAAAATGGACAGGGCTTGCTTAAGGTAAATAGTGACCTTTGCTAAGGATACTAAAGACGTAGGACATGACTGACCACCATGATCTGCCCAGTTAGTAATTTATAATCAGATCGCCCTGTGAGGTTCCTTTCTGTCACTGGATTTGTCAGATTTATTAGAGCACCCCATTTTGGTCCATACTTGTAACTGCCAAACCTGTTGTGGGCCCTGAGAAAGAAGGTAACTACTAAAAAAGGGCTCCCTGTGGCTAACTGGGCTCAAATTGAAAAACAAACAACAAAAAACAGCCTAGAGGCCATTTCTGCACAGGGACCTCTCACACAAAGTGCACATCAGTGAGAAGCCTGCACTAAGCTGCCTGTTTCCCTGTACTGAATTACCTCCTTGCATTGTGTTTGTGCCAGCCCCTATAAAAGGAGTCTTTGGAATCCTATTTCAATCAAAAGGACTGAAGCTTTCCTCATTGAGCAGAGCTATGCAGCTATAGCCCCAGCATCTTCTTCACTGACCAATCAGAACAGTTTCATTCTGGCCAAATAGGGACAATGCCTTCTGGACCAATCAAACTGTGAAGATTTAGATTCCTCATTTGATGAGGGCAGACCAATAAGGGACCAGGAGTGGAAACTTCTGTTTATAAGTCAGCTCTGGGTTAAGGAGTGCACTGTCCCTTTTCCACAAAAATGGAGACTGGGTTTTGCCGATTAGAGCTGGAGCTGACATGGCCAAAGACAGCTGCCAGAGCGGAGACGAGCAGGCCTGTGCAAGGCTGAGCAGTGTGCAGCTTGAGAGGGCCTGGCTCCAGAGCCTCCTTACAGCACTGCTGCTTCATAATTGGGCTGTTTTGCAATGAATAAAATTTCCCTGTTCACTGCTCTACAAATTGGGGATTCCTGTTGCCATTGAATGTGCACCAACCACAAACCACCGTCCGGTTGACACTTTCCCTCACGTTTGTTTCTGCCACAGCCTAGGCGTACTACACAGAAAAGTCTCACTTCTTTAGCTCTTTCGCTCAGACACCACCAGCTGAGAGAAGGATTCTGACCACGGCATTTAGAATGGCAATACTGCCATCACCCTGCGCCCTGTTTTATGTCTCCTTGGCACTTAACACCAATTCATTGACAACATCTGTAGAGTTTTTAAGTTCCAGGAGGCCTAAAGCAGTGCCTGAGGGCTATGTCAGGCGCTCAGGAAATCCAACACTAAATTCACTAGAGAAAAGAATCATACCACCCGGGCAGGGTCACAAGAGCAAGGTCGCGTTGTTCTGCAGCCAACCGCTCCCTGCCCCCACCTCCCTTGCAGAATTACCCCGGCCCCCGGAGCTCAGAGGCGGGGCTTCCTGTGGTCAGAAGAGTTTCCGGGGTGAACCGGAAGTGGCCATAGAGCAGCCGCCACCGGGGAGGCGGAGGCCTGTCTCTTGCTCTGGGCACCATGGGCAAAAGGGACCGGGCCGACCGCGGTGAGAGGTGGTGTGGGCACGCCCGGCTGTCCGCACTCGCGGTCCTGTCGTTGTCTCCAACCGGCTTTGGCCTCCTCAGCGGCAGCGTCCCTGCAGTCCCTCGCGGCCTGCACGACGGGCCTGAAGTATCCCAAGTGGGGGCTGATCCCTAACCCTTGGGCAGCCCTGGGTCCTGGGTCGGGTGGGCAGGGTGCTGACGACCGGCAGCACTTGACTCTTGGACGGGAGTGTGTCAGGGCTGGTGGAGCCTGGCTGCTGCCGGGTTCCCCGAAATGCCTCCAGGGTGAGTGGAGGGAGACTCGCTTCTGGGGGCTCATTTCTGTGTCCGTATTTGCAGATAAGAAGAAGTCCAAGAAGCGGCACTACGAGGATGAGGAGGAAGATGAAGACGACGCCCCTGGAAATGATTCTCAGGAGGCGGTACCCTCGGCTGCCGGAAAGCAAGTGGATGAGTCTAGCACAAAACTGGATGAGTATGGAGCCAAGGACTACAGGCTGCAGATGCCGCTGAAGGCCGACCACATCTCCCGGCCCCTCTGGGTGGTGAGCATACTGACAGCCAGGGCACGGCCCCACAGGAACCTGTGGGGCCAAAATAGAAAATCAGGCCACTGCTGGCAGAGTTGGCGGGGGAGAGCCTTCGTACAGGTAGTGTGGACAGCCGAGATAGGGATGGCAAGTGTTCACGCCTGCGCCGCTTCTTTCCTGTCTGACCCCACCTTTTACTCTCCTGTCTTTCCAATTCTACTGCAGGTTTGGGAATACTTTTATTTACCGAATAGATAACATTTATTATGTAACCCTTTAATTCCCCACTTTTAAAAATTAATGGAAGACATAGTTGTTAGGCAGCGTTTTTTTCCTCAACTTGAAGTAATCAGTGTTCTGCATTCATTTGATCTAGCCAAATGGTAACTTGATAG